AAGCACAGAGTGCAAACAAACATCCATGCAATCTCGTGATGAAAGTAATGAAAGTGATGATTAAAGCAAGGATGACGGAACGGGTCAGTATTTAAGTATTAACCTGTTCGGCGTGCCGGCTTTTTATGAAGAATAAAAAGAAAAATTATATTTAATATTTCAAGACGTGGAACGCAATAGAAATGCTATTTCCATTTACTACTAATACAACTATTTTTAAATCTAAGTAGAAAATTCATAGAAATATGTTTGAAGCTGTTAATTGCTGAAGAATCTAAAAGGAGAAAGAGAACGGAAGATTTGAAATATGGGTCTCTCTAAAATGTTAAATATTATATACATTAATAGAATTTTCTATATTTTCTTAATTTTCTTAATTTTATATACATTAATAAAAATTTTTTACATTTCATAACGACTTGATTACGCGATGCATTTTTAATTATAGAATTCGCATTTTATACATATATAGACCATAAAGAATATATTTAATATATAACATCTACTATTGTGTAGTAAGTTACAAGCGTTATCCGTATTGTTGCTGCGACATACATGAATAAATAAATTATTATTATTATTAGTATTTAATATAACTGGATGTTTTAATTTTTCACGTCAATATTATAATTGCAGGATGCTCTCGAATATATGTAAGTAGCCTATCAATTTCCATGGGGATTAACAAAATGTTTCATAATTTGCGTTATAGTAGAAAGAAAAATAAATTAAATAACACTTTTTAACAATAGAGGTGGTTCGAACCATTTTAATTAAATTTAAAAATGTGAAAATTATTAAAAATTTATTCAATAACTTTTTATCTATTCGTAGCCTTGTAAGTTTAAATTTAATCTGCTCCGTAAATTTTTAAGTACACTAAAATCTTTCAAAGGCACTTTACAGTTGTCAATCAATATCGACATTTTTATTAGAAAAAAATTTATGAAAGACCGCTTTCATAAACCTAATTAGACATCCTGCACGCATATAAAAACAAAATGTCAATTCCTAATTTTTTTTGCTTGAGAAAGGTATCATTTATATTTGGTGAAATTCATTGTTAATTATATATCTCGAGATTCATTAATTATAAGATTTCAAGATTATATCGTCCGTTACTCTGCTTGTCTGCTTTCCGCAGATTCAGAGCAAAGTCTTCAAAGAACAGGATAATTAAAATGATAAATCTTGTTTTAAAGACAAAATGAGAAGTATACGGCTGCTCATGCAATTTGATAACCGGATAATAACTGTCAAATTCACGTGTATTTCCTGACATTTACGACAGAGTAGCTTTGCAAATCATTAGTAGGAAGTTTCTTGCTAAATCTTAGATCTTGACCCTTTTCTTTACAAAAAATCTCAGACAAGGCATGTAATAATAAAGTTATTTATAATTGACTAGAAGCAACTGAAGACTTTCATAAAATTAAATTTAATCTATACGCGTATATAGATTAAGAATCGAGAAGTCAAATAATTTAAAGTAAACCTTCGTTTTAATGAAAAGTCGTGAGATAATCTCTAATAAATTTTTATAATTGTAAGAGCGGGACGAATGGATTGCGAGCAAAATTTTAATAAAGATCTGTCCGCAAGTTTTATGGAAGGCTTCATTTTTTTAAATCTTTTAAATTCATGGAACGGGAATATAGTCATATGAATAGATGCAAATTTTTATTATGATATTATATATCTCAAATAGATAACGTACAGTATTCATTTCAAGCAATGTGAAATACCGCGGATGAATCGATAATTAAAACGATGGGAAATGTGAGACTCGTGAAATAGTTTTTTTTATTGTTGAAAAAATGGACAAGCTAGAGATTTTCTTCTCACGGTGATTTGACATGCGAATTTTCCGCATGAAAATAAACGACTGGAAACGCGTGGAATTTTTCAATATAGATTTTTAATTTAGATGTTCGTATCGTGAGAACAAGTGTGAAATGCGCACGGAAGAAAGAACAAAGGATCAATTGTAAACTACGTCGAAAAATGAATAACAATTTTTAGTCCTGCATCGTGCGCGTTCGATCCCACATGCGATTGGCAAGCGACTAAAAAATTAAATATTAAAAAAAAAGAACAAAAGCAAGAGGAAAGGAAATTCGTCGTGTATATACACATATACACATATACGTTAAAATAACAGATATTTTAATTAATTTGGAGCACAGAACTAATTTGAATATTGGACCAATTTTTCTCCTTTTTACAAAAATGCTTTTGACAGAAATACATTTAAAAATTTAGAAGTTTTATAAAATTGAATTTTTTTAAAAAGTGCGAAAAAATGTATTAAAATTTAAGTTTTTCATTACTTTTAAGTTTGATTTTTACTTTTGTACTATACTAAAAATTTGACATTTAAATTTAATATTTTGAAGATACAGTATTTAACTAAACAATAACAAAAATTTCTACGTATATAATTTTTTCTGAAAAATAAAATTACCCAAAAATGTTAAGAAAAGCATTTGTTCCAGAAATATCATTTAGTAATTTGGGAACAGTTTTTATGTAGACAAAATCACAATTTTTTGATAAGATTTTAAAAACTACGCACACAATATATCTATATTTATCAGTGACATAGACAGATATTGATATCCGAAATCTAAAAGCTCACGTATACGAAATTTTTCGCGCAAAAATGTGTATCTGCTTCTTTTCAACATCAGTTCACGACACTGGCGCCTCAAAGACGCGAGAATTCATTTCATCCCTTAGACGGAACATCGACGTGCTTCGCACCGCCAAGAAAAGATTCGCATGACGCATAATCAAGAGAGAGAGAGAGAGAGAAAGCATGTTACACGGCGCGATCTCGTTAAGATAAAAACTACTCTCTCGTTACGGTCTATGGCAGCAGTTGCGATATATACAGGGAGTTTTTTTAATGAAAATGGCCCTCTCTTGTAAGGATCACGCGCATAATAAAACAAGTGACCGCCAAGCTTCTTTTGCGTCCCGCTTCCCAAAATGTGGCAAAAAAATTTTTATGTTTCAACCTTAAACGCATGACCTTATAATAATATCGCGGTGTCGCGCGCGACGCGTGAAAAACCGCCGCGACGCGATTTCATGGAGATTTATGAAAACAGCGCCGCTTGTTATTTCAGTTTTAAAAGCTAGAAAAGCTAGTCCATTTTCGCGTATGATTCGTGGACAGTTCACGAAGTGCGATTACAAATACGACGAGCAATAATAAAAATAGGTACCTGCAAAATAGAGATAAATTAAATTTAACTCGCCAGCAATAAATGGAAAATAAATTAGAATTTTCACGGAACATAAAAGAAATTTCCTTAACTTTTTATTACCTCTATATAGGAATGATTATTTTTAAATAAAATTAAATATAAAAAGGAAATGTAACTTTCTGGATATAATTACGCTCTCTACGAATATCGTTCAAGAAAAGTGTAATTATGTACGGAAATATCTTTCTCGGAAATCGATGGAAACGCGAATAGAATATTTTGTATATCTTAATTACGGAAAACACAAAATTATTTGCTTGGGAATGACAGATTTTCAGAAGAATGGAATATGTGTCACATTTTAAAAATACTTGTACCTTGCTCCGTCACATTCTGCGAATCGAGTAAACGAAACGTGAAATTTAAAAAATTAGTAGGTCTCTCTCCAATCACAAATTTCTAACCTTATCTCAATTTTCAACCCTTTCATACGTATATACGTGTTTGCCTTCCGAAACATGCATTTTAACCGTTAGCACACACGATTAGATCATTCGTGTGCTGCGCATCTTTTCTCTTTAAAATACCAGAAGCACCTGGCCAAATAACGGTCTGTAGCCTGTCCTTAAAAAGAGTTTGAGTTCAGAGGGTAAAACCCTAGGCAGACCTGATGTGTTATCGACCTCAGTTCATGAATATCCTTCGATTAGGACGCCTCGGAAGTTTACGAATGACCCAACTATGTGTAGAGTTAGTACTTTTTTTGCATCTAAGACATTTTTATTTTTCCTTTATTTTCAACTAATTCTCGTTTATATTGCAAGGATTTCATAAACTATTAAAAAATTTAAACGATAATTTTGTGCTAAAATGTCGACTCAGCAATTGAAGAGTAGGTCGTAAGAATTTTGCGATCAAGAGAAATAAAGGAGCAAATTAATAACGCAATATTAATAGTAAAATTGCATTGTTTAAAATGTAAATGCCTTCAATTTATAACTTTTTTTGTAGTTTGAAATATTAATTTGAAAGTATAAAACGTTTTTTTCTTAAATTATTTTCAGAGTTTTAAATTTTCGTACAAAAAAGTGCATTTATTCATTTTGTCGACTATAATTAATTATAACATTTATACAATTTTTATGTATATAACACACAATCTTACAAATTCTAAACATATTAAGGTGTATATAAGAATAATTTGTGTGTAAAAGTGATAAAAATTAACTAAGACACAAACATCCCGATCATATAATAAAGGAAAATCATCGTGCGAATTAAGGGTTAAAAAATCGGTAAGCCTCTCTCTCACAAAGTTCTGAACTTTCACTCTCTCCTTCTTCAACCTTTTCACATATACGTCTCCCCAGCCATCTCTGCACCTTAAATAACATCGGTAGACCGATTGTGAAACTATCTTGTTAAACGTCATTGAGGTCGTATTACACGTTGTCAAATCTGCGACTCGTGGCGGGGAAGAATTTCTTAATGAAACGGTTCAAAACGGAGCAAAAAGAGAATTCGCGCGCGAGAGACCGCGAGAGTGCGAGTAAGTTCCACCTCCGCGTCATCTCGGTTACGAGAGGGTGGCGAGGTTGGAGGGATGAACGGGGCAGGGCAAGAAGAGGACGCTTGCGCCCCGTGACCGCGTGGCCGCTTTCGAGCCACCTGTGCGCCCACCCTGTCTCTTTCTCTTTCTCTCTACCTCTTCCCGTCTCTCTTTCATCCCCCCATCGAAAGCACGGCGACTTCCCATATATATGAAGGGTCCCTCGGTATCGCCACACTTCGCATCATTACCGCCGTAACGTGCGAGCCACTCAATCCCCGCTCGTCTCTCTCATCACCTGCGACTAACGCTCAAGAATTCGAATCCGGTGAGTTTGACAATTTATTTCTTATGCACCTTGCACGGCCGTTTGTGGTCTTTCCTTATTTTCCTCCTTCGTCACTTTCCCTTTTCTAATAATTAACTGCGCGCTCGACAACTTCCAAGTCCGCGTCTTATCGTGAAAAATGTGTTTTTCTTGCAATTTGTTTTAAAAATAGTGTAAAATCTTATTATAATTAATTAAACTTCCACCTTTTAATTTATCATTAAATGCGAGTCCTGAGTTGGATTAATATACGTGTTACGTTCTTTTTTTAATTATGGAAGAAAACTCAGAAAGCACATTATTTACTCGCACGCAAAAAAAAAACAGGTCAATGTAATATTACGCTATAAAGTAACTTTTTTTTGCGTGTGGAATATATTTTAATGCTCTCTGATTTAATCAAGTGGAATTGCTCCGTCAAAATTTTTCGCAGTACAAAAAGATTCCATTATATAATGTAATTACAGTAATAGTAGTTGCAGATATTTGTTAATATTTCTGGTATATAATCAATGACGTATAGCTTTTTTAAATCTTGTAAATCACTCGAGAACAGTCTTCAATAAAAAATCTAATACAATTGATTTGCAATATATTTTTTTGACGGGTTTAATTGTTTTTTATCATTTGTTTATTTATCATTGTTTTAATTCTTTACGAATAATTTTATCTTATAAAAATAGTATTAATTATTACATTTAATTTAATTTTAAAATTAAAGTTTTTTATTAATTAAAACGATAACAATTAATTACGTTAGTTAAAAACAAAACTGCTATTTTCCCGCAGCTTAATCTTTATTTTTGAGTTAGATTCTTAACAAAAATGTCAAACGTAAAAAACGCAAACTTTTGTATTTATCAATTACTGCACATACGTTTCATATACGTTTTCATCCCCATTGAAAAAGTTGAAGAGTCACGACACGTATTGCATCAATAAACTTTTTTGGAAAATATCGTATTTCAAACATATCGAATCGTATCATTTTTTTCTACATGACTAGATAACGATATACGTATAATTCAAAAATCGATAAACAATATTTAATTTTCTAATATAATTGAAAAAAATATTGTAAGATATACTGAAAGATATGAGTTTGGAAAATTTTACAGTTATCAGATTATATACTCATTCGTGATACAAACAATCTAAAATTATAGACATTTAATTTAGTCTTAAAACACGCGAATAATGCAAGGATTCAGAAAATTAATTTTGATTTAATTGAATTTGATGCGTCGTAAGCGAAGAGCTCTTCTTTTATAACCGGAAACCACCTCGGTTTCCCACTTTAGTTGGAAAAAAGATCGGCTTTGAATTGTTGATCGTAAAGCTTAACGTCGTCTACGATATAATTCTGCAAGTATTATAAATAACATTCTGAAGAGACAAAAAATTTAAAAACTCACGTGTTTTGTAAAGAATATTAATAAAGACATATTAAAATAGACATATTAAAATGAAATATCAAACATTTAGTGAATGATTTTTATTTAAATGCTGTGATTTTTTTCTAATGTCTTTTTGTAAAATTAATGGCTGAAAAAATTTAGATGTGTAACTATGCTTCGTACACATCCAATCAATGGAGATTTCAAACAAAGAACGTTTTTGTATTCCTCGTAAAAATTGAGTATGCTGCCTTTTATGATTATGATGTACGTAATCCATTGAAAATATCCGGCGGCGCGATCATTACTATTTTTTTTATCGCGATGTAATGGGTGATAAATTACTAACGTAGGTCAAAGGTATAAAACAGAGGACAAAGAAAGATTGATATTTTGTAGCTGGACTATACAGGCTTACATAGCTAGTATATTTGTGAATTGTATAGTTTGATTAAAAACATGTAATTATTTTCAGCTTACATATTGCATGTGTTATATTTTTTTAATATAAATCGTGACTGTAACTAATTGTTTATCCAACATGGCTTGTTTGCGCTTTAAATAAAAAGATTTAGCCGCATTTTCTCGGACACTGACATGCAGAAATAGATTTAAATGGAAGTAATTTATTATATAGAATTTAATCGAATTAGGTATTTATGTTTTTTCAATACCTTCCAATCACATAATTCATAATATAACTCTTGAAAAATTATAAAAGTTTAAATATCATTTGAAATATAAAGTTGTTTTTTCATTTCATTCGTATTAATACTTTCACCATTTTAACAAATTGTGACGGTTTTCTCTCGTGTATTTTATTTTTTTATCCATATATTAATTTTTTCTGCTATACACATTAAAAAATACTTTGTTCACATTTACTCGAAATGTTAATTTCGACATATGCCTTATTACTTTCCGTCGCGCGATTACGCAGATTAAAATTTTTGCCGCAGGAGGATTTAATGTAATACGTGAACTTGGACATACACGATTTATTCGTAAGTAACACACACACACACACAAGTTGCAAATTTTTAAATCCGCTTTCCTCAGGAGCTTTCCGCAGCGTCCACATTTTATCAAACTTCTCGAGTGGAAATGCGTGGGTGTAATACAGCCGCCGCGTTAAATACCGGTGCCATTGTGCGACCAAAATTCATTTAACTTAAACATAACCTTTCCCCTACCCTCCCCCCCTCCCGTTCTGTTCGTTATACGTACACGCGTACACGTGATGTAACCGAAGTCATTTGGGCTTGATAATTGAGCAGCTTGAAAATTATTCGTGGAACAATAAGTAATTGTTGGGAAACAGAATCGGGATACGCACGAGGTATCTTATCGCGCGAGTGGAAATTTCTCAGAGACACCTGAAAGGCAGCTTTTAAAACGTAATTCCACGGCCGGGGAGCGGTAATATCCAAAATCGATATTCGGCTACAATGTGTCTCGTCATTGCGCAGCGAACTGTGCTTTTCGCCACTGCACGTTTATTAAGACGTTTCACTTAATGACTAATTAGCGCAAAAGACAATTACGAACCGACATCGTTACGTGGAGACGGAACGTCTCCGCGGCGCGGCTATGATAATCGATTTCTCTCTTCCCGTAGCGCGCGCCTCTCTTGCTTAATTATTAATACTCACTGATTACACAACAAATTCAGTTACTTTTTTCCTGAGCGCCGGCAGGGCTAAGTACGTTAAAAGTCGATATAAGTGATGCGGAGAGTATCCATGCGGGCACAAAAATAGTCGGCGAGCAAAAAATACGATTTTGCCATCTTCTCAACGGTATACGCGCGTAAATTATTTATGTTCTTTAAAAGCCTGTGCAACACGCACCGAGCAAAGAGATGGGCAATTATTACTCGGGAAAGCTCGACAAGTAAATTGCCGTTAATCAGGGTTGAGAAATGCGAGGTATTCCTACAATATTTCTCTACATTATTATCTGCCCCGCGTCACGAAGCTTTGGAATTTTCAGATTATAATTTGACTCCCTTTTTCCAAGAGAAACGGAATGTTTTATTTGTTGAGACGGAAGTCTCTCAACGGAAACGGAAGACATTCAGATAATAATTTATGTCTGTATCAAACGAGGTTTAGCATAAAATATTCAATATATATACGTACTTTTTCTGGTGGTTTTAATAACAGTAAAGATATTTCCATGATTTGAAATTATATTATTCGAACTGTTCGCTCTTGGAATAAATTTTTCTTTTCGAAAATTATACCTTAATCTACGAAATCTTGATTGGAGTCTTAGTTAGCGATTCAAAACTCAGAAACTCCGAAGAAAATGGTCCGCTATTAGAGATAATGAAGAACTTGTCTTCGAATTTATCGCAGTTTACATGCAAGAAGTTTACACGAAGGAGATTTAAGAACCTTTCGAAACAACTCCACGCGAAACCTGCTGTTATCTATAGAAACTGATGACAAGGACGAGGCACACCCGCATGATTAGATTAAACTTTGATCTATCTATGTATCTCGGCTTCCAGAGATCGTAGGACAATTTTCATGTGCGCGTTTTAAAGGGTGAAATCTCAACTTTAAAATGTTTAAAATGATATTTTTTCGTCCCATCGAACTGCCTTTTCGTGAAGACTGAAAGCAGGTCATGTTAGAGTCCTGGAAATTTCACGGCATTAATCAACTGATTCGCACACACCGAAAAATTCACATAATTTTCACAGTCCAAACGCAATAGATACACACACGTCACACTTTATACTGAACACACGTACACCGCATACAATGTGCAAACTCCGATCGAGCAATCTCCCCGTGGTGCACATCGTGTAACGCGAATGCCGGCGGTAATTAACCAAAATCTTGCAAAATGCAGAATTTATTTTGAACTTCGATATCTCAGTTTGTAGGTACGCAGGAACAATGTTCCTGATGTCATTTCTGATGTCAAAGAAAAAGCTTCCGTCCTTAAAATTTATGTGGTGACATTTTTCACCTGGTTTTCCCGTGAAAGACTGCAATGTCGTGAAATTTCCAGGATTCTGACATGACCTGCTTTCGATTTTCATCGATGGGACGAAAAATATCATCTTAATCATTTTAAAGTTGAGGCTTCACCCTTTGAAATGAAAATTGTCCCACGATCTCCGAAAGCCGAGATACAGTTTCTTAAAAACCGACAAAATTCGAAAGTTTTAACGTGATCTCTTAGCGCAGTGTATAATTCTGATTCTTCGAACACATTTTTCACACGACGTAAAGTTGTAGGTAAATTGAATTCTATTCTGAATTCTGGACGAAAATTTTACATCGCGTCTAAAGTGAACTCTATAAAGCAATTACGCATCGGCGTGAATTGCGTTCGTATATACGTTTAATATCGAGCACGTGAAAACGATTAAACGGATTTGCCTCGGTCAATGCGGTGTGAGTAATCAATGAATTATACGCTATAATTCGCGTCCGTAGAATTGGCGAATAGAATTGGGTTCGACAACTTGGATTCTGTCGTAGGTAGCAACAATCAGAGACCTGTCGCGACTTAAATAACGACGTAAGCCATATTTTCCTGTCTCTAGTTACATTGAGACAGAATTTCAAATTCATCTGAATAATCTTTAATAATAATCTTTAATAGAGATACTCGACGTGAAAGATACCACATTTTATACAACGAATTAAATATTTCTTAAGAATTTTTGGGTTTTTTGCTACATTTTCATTCGTATGTTTAATTTAAACGCTTATATTTTCTATTTAAAATAATATATAATTTTGACTGAATTTTTTTTTTAATTTGTACTCCTAAATATTTTTTTATTTTATTTATTTACTCAATAGATATTTCGAGATATGATTAGGTGAGATAACAAATAACATTGTATTTGTTTAGAGAGAAAAAGAAAATTATATAAAATATATATGTACAAATGCATTTGTGATATAAAGCGTGATATATAACGATATTTGTTATTTTTCTACGATTCTCCCGCTTGCAAAAAGAAAAGAACAATATTGTTCCGATGCTACGTAATTTATTTACAATATAATCTGTACTTGTGTTCAGAGAACTTCATGCGCAATTTCTTCTTCAGATGAGCCATAACATTGTTCGTATGTTGATATTCTGAAAATTTTTAACGAACTTCGAACGACAGGGGAATGGAAGTTACATTATCGTTAATGGAATTTTCATCCTCGATAAATAAAGCGTAATACGTTTACATGCATTTCTGCCGTGCGATTAATGTTAAAAGATGAAAATGGAAGGAGACAACGTCGTATCTTTACACGCGGGCGAAAAAGAAAAAAAAATGAAAGAACGGTCGAAGTGACGCGGTTTGGTTTTTGGAACACAGACGTCATTTGTTATGCAAACACACAGATACGTATAATGGGAGTCTATATGTTTGAATTTTACGGCCGAAGGCGCAGATTACGCGCCGGCACAGGTGTTACACATGGACGAAGCCTTCTTGCTTTGTGGTTGTTCCTGCGTTAATGGGGGTTGCCTCTAAATTGATACACCGTTGTGAACAGAGATCGCGATGCTTGCACGGATATTCTCGTCGTGATAGATTGTGGTGGTGGACGAACTACGTGGAAATGATAATTCGATATGGAGATGTCACGTTCACGCGACACTTGCGAAGCGTGTCATCCAATTTAATATTGCGCCAAAAATTAACGCATACATGTACGCACTTAATTCTACAACGTGATCCGCACGCGCGCGAATATATATACATATATATACATATATATGTATATACGTCGCTTCACGATGCGGACGCGCAATCCTCTCTCCTAAGTAGAATTAATTACAATTCGATGAATTATTCAGAAAGCGCGGTGTCGATGCTGATAGTTTCCCTTTTTTTCCTACTTCTTGTCCTGTCACTTGAGCCGTTGCATGACATAAATAATAACATAGCTGACTAGGTACTGACTATAGGAATATGGCTCGTTAATATCGTGACCTCGAGGATATCGATAACATGACCCTTTGAAAATCGAGGGCGTGGAGGGGTGCGCTTTGACGTATAAGTCCCGCGAATGAGTTCAAAGATTTTGTTGATAAAATTACATTAGACTGACGATGAAAGATTTTCCTAAACTTTCGATCGGAAAAGTGATGTAATGTCAGCCTTGAAACTTGACAAATTTTCAATAAAAAGAGCAATTTTCTCGGTCCATTTTCGCGAGTATTAAATAATATATTCAGTAAAATTGAATATATTCTTTTTATTTAAAAAAATGAAAGCTCATTATATATATACGTTCGTCTATAAATTGTGCTTCGTTATTAAATATTTAATATTTTATATTAAAATATTTAATATTTTAAAAATGCAATTTACATTTTTTTAATGAATTACGCATCGTAACACACATATTTGTGAGCTTCTCTTTTTTATCTTTTTCTCAATTTAATACATAATAATAGTCGAAATACTTTGGGTTAATAAAAAAATATAATAAACAAAAAGACAATTTAAAAAAGTTGTAACTTGTGTCTTTTAAAAAGTTATAATTGATATAATATTATAATTAAATAACAATGACATAATAAAATTAAATAAATAATATTGAAATATATAATAAAAATATATAATATTGAAATTAATATTTAATTACTTTTATATAAACTAATGTTTCTCCGCATTTTTAGGTTCTTCAAAAATAATGGCCTTAAAATTATGAGCATTTGCCACTGTAATACACTAAAATAAATACGATAAAATAACTTTTAGGTTTATATAGGTTTATATAGGTCAGTAGTGTTATTAACAACACTGTTGGCTTCCGCATAATCTTAATATAATAAGAGACATAAATTTACTTAATATATAATTTAAGCGACTCGTAATACGTTACATTTGGATAGCTCTTTACAACGAACTCGGGAAAATAATTTAACGAAATATTTTGCATAATAAAATTATTATAACAGCGCTCGGAAAGCTGCGTTTCCTTCAGATAATGTCTCCTGAGCACGCAATGTTATTTAACCGCGAAGCCCAACACTCAGCTCGATTGTTATCATAGTGATCTTGAATTTATCTTCCCTCATTTTCGTCAAACGTTGCGATGTCCAAACGTTGGAAGGAGGGAAAGGGGAATTATATCAGCGACAGGCGTTGCATATATTCCAGCGGAGTCGAAGCTTCTACAAAGCGCAAGTGAAGCGAAACTGCCGTCGCGTCGCGCTGCACCGTTCATCGTTCGAATTATGAAATAGTGATGTGACGATCTCTTTTAATTGTTCTCGTAATGTAAAAAAAAAGGAAAGAAAGTAGGAAAACTGTTCTTTGCCAAGTCGATTAGATAACACGCTTAGCACACATGCGCGCGCGCGCGTCCTCGGTCGTACCTGCCCGAAGCAAAACGTGCGTTTACGTCCGCAAAATCGACCGGAGTAATTAAATCACATGTAGAATCGTTCGCTTGATTGCAGAGGACAGAGGAGAGCACCATGTACGCTAAACGTTGCGCAGCTTTCATTCTTTTCGTCGTGATAGTCGGTCTCGTGGACGCCACCGAAAACTACATGGATTACGGAGGTAAGTTCACCACGTTACTCCACAAATTATTGATTATTTTTTTGAAAAGACGCGTTGTCAACACATTTAGTATAATTGTGTGAGCTTCTCGGTTTCTTTAAAATAAACAATAATTTCTTTTCTGATAATTATTGGAGTCAATCCGATTTCAGGAAAATTGTTGAAACGTTGATACGGCACGTGTTGATTTGCATTTATTGCATTGAATGTACTGCGTAACTCTTAGACTAATTGTAACATTCCCGAAATAAACTCCTTACGTATATATTCTTGTACTTGTTCAGAGCTCAACATTCTGACGAATTTTTACAACAAATGTTTCTCGCTCTTTTGATGTAAATTCGCATTTTCCGAGCTATCCCCTCGTGCTATATAGATCCCATTAAAGTTTCACTCTTACTTGGCACGATAATACGTTTTGTATTCCATTACCGGTAATGCCATGTATCAACGCGAGACCGTCAGCGCGTCTCTTATTACATACAATAATTAATGATCGCGAAGGATGGCTTATTAAGCCGACGGCTTCTAGACCGTGCGTAGCGAAAAATGTAAGTCTAATTAAACCTTTCATCGCATTGCACTAGTTAATATGACACGGTTTCGCCCTGTTCTATTATCTTTATATGATTATAGTTATATCTTCACGCGTATCTATAGAAAAATTTATTTAGCTCAATTCAAAAGTAATTTTTATATTACTAATGCTATTTTTATATAGGTTTGTCATACAACTCGCGTTCATACTTTTATTAAGAAATTATCCGATCTTTATAGAGTGAAATGATATTATGTACAATTTCGAATATGGTACAATTCTGGACGAAATAAGATTTGAATCCAATTTTCAGAGATTCAAATTTAATTTATCCCTGTTTGATGGGTCTTTTAATGCCCTTTACACAATGAGATCAGAATTACCAAACTTGAACCTTGAAATTGGATTCAAATCTTAATTCATTCAGAATTACCATATTCGAATTTCTATCACTTTACTCTATAGTTTTTTTACTATAAAGTTTTATTCTAGAGTAATTTTCTTTATACACATTAATTTTAGAGTTGTATAAGTGATTTAGGATTAAAAAACTTTTTGCAAAACTTTCGATTTTAGATAGAAATTTATTTTTTCTTAATAGAAAAAATAATAAGACAAAACAAGAAAAATTTTACATAACTTTTGCTTTAAATTTGTCATAAGAGTTTATTACAAACTTTAATAAAAATTAATACAAAATGTGACTAACATACTAGATATTTACTGTCCAATATTATCAATAAATGAAAATCAAGTGATTTGGCTGGAGAGCTTAGAAACTTAGGAATAAACTAGCTCTAGAAAAAGAAACTAAGTTTAAATAATTCTAACTATGTCCAAGGAGAAATATAACACAGTATTATTTAGTATTATTAAAAAAAAATTAAAACATTATTTATTTATTTTTCAGTATAGAGTCAATATTCACGAATATTCTCTAATCAGCTAATGAAGATAATTTGACATTTCGATGAATAATTCACGGCGGTCGATACGAAGCGCCGTTGATCCAGGATGATTAGCAATTATGTAGTATTTCCACCGAAATATAGAGACTTATCGTAAATCCGATCTGATCATATTGATCGTCCTACGTGTCACTTTTATCGTTGGTCCCTAATCGTACGTGCGATCGGTCAAATCTCTCTCCATTCAATAAGTAATTGCTCGTGAGAGGAGGGATCATGTTATATCACGTTCTCTCTCTCTCACTCTTTTTTGCTGTCTCCGAGCAGCGCCAAAATGACCTCGTCACAACATCGCTGTTTCGGCCGAGTTATCCGTTAGGGTCTTTTTGCCCCATAAGCGTTTCATCAATACGTTCTACTCGCGCACGAACGAATTCCAGTAGGTACCTACGTGGTTTTCCCGCAGACCGCAAAAGCGTTCAGTCGAGCGTCACAAACATCGATGTCAGCTCCACTTGCTGTAATTGGTGTACATTTCGACAGTCTTTTTTTCTCTCGGTGGAAGTATCAATCTTCCTTGCCGAGACGAGGAGATGAATGTCCCCCGTAATTTCGATGTATTATTTATCGAATCGTCTGAAACTGCGCGGGAGAGTGTTGGGGACGCTATTATAGCGAAGCATCAGCAGGCAATTTAGCTTCATGGAGATAGTAAAATTTAATATAACGTAATCCGCATTATAACGCGAATGGCGAAACGCAGCACGTTATGATAGTCAACAGGTGCATTGGACAACCCCATCTACGTTTAACGCCCGAGGCTCCGTCATCTTTGTATTTTTTCTTTACGGAAGAAGTAATTCGCGTTTCGGCGTAAAGGTTAAAACACCGCAGTACGCAATATAGTATTTTGCGTTTTTTTTATTTTTTTGTTTTTGGTTTTTTAAGAAACTAGGTTTATCCGATCGATTGCACGAGCTGCGGTTTTGAATTAAAAAAAAAATCGCACAACGTGTTTCACATCATCGCGCATCCTCGAATTTTACCACGCAAGTTTTTCATAGAGTTGAAAGGTGCCTATTCAATCGGAAAATGGTTCCCTGTTTGCCTTTGTGGGACAATGAAACACGCGGGAAAATTCTATCGTCTGTATTCTTGAAAGGTCGACACGGTAGTACGTACTATTCTGTTACAATAAAAAAGATCGCTTTTTTTATTGGTCGGACTGGCCAGGTTTATCGAACCGTTGTTTGAAAGTAATCAAAGAGATATGTAACATCCGTTTTGAATCTCTTTCGTTCCCAGCATCCCGATCAGTCATAAATACATACGTTTTCTCTTGTAATTTGAGAAGACGTGTTCTTAAGACGCCCATTTACTTTAATAAAACGTAACGCGTAAATTTATATAAAAGCAGAACTTTTCTTTCAATTTATTTTAAGTGTAAACTGTGAATAAGCAAAAATACGTTGACGTAAAAATATACGTTGGTGTAAAAAAACACAATTCCGTCGAGCGCTTTATGACTGACAATAGTTGAACTTTCACAGTTTTCAAAAACATTCGAAGAACACCTGCTATCTATAAATCTTGCAGAAACACAATATACCTATGTGTCTTCGTTTTTTTTTATGAAAAAAAAACATGATACCGATATACCGAAGGCGTTAATAATTCTGAATACACGTCAAGTAATATAAATGTATACATACGTATGTGATAAACGACACGTCAGATAACGTCGCCATCGTCGATGGAATATATGTATTTTTTTCTAGTTTTTTTTTATAGGATGACCTATGCGGACGAATAAAAGTGAATAATCGTTATATCGCGCGTTACGTACGATAGTAACCGTATAAATGCCCACCCAATTCGTATGACCCTATACGCCCATACGAAGAACGCTACTTATCGTAAAGCTATTTAATGCCGCATAAAGCGGACGTACTTGTAAAGCGTCATATTCTCTCTCTCTCTCTCTCTCTCTCTCTCTCTCTCTCTCTTTCATTTTCTCTTTTCCATAAAACTGGACACGTGCATCGCACACGCGTCTGATTTACATTCTTTCGAAAGGAAGCCGCGGCACACGTCGTATCCGCGAGAGACTCGCGCTTGGCATTACATCCCGCCCAATAAACACCAAGTAACTGCAGTAACATAACATCGATGTCAAAGTGTCAGACTCAAAAATATAAATTTAATATAACACCACATTACATAACAGTTATATTGTATGACATTTTATACATTAAAGTTATGTTACTGTTCAGTTTGTGTTTACTGGAGATCAGGCGCTTTTTTTAGCAATGATAAAAGATATCGTTTCCCGTCTGGATCTCATAGGATAACGTGATGAATATTGATGTTTAACAACAGCAGATTCCGTTGATGCTTCGCAAAAGTGTGTGCCGTTAATTCCCAAGGCGTAAGCTTATTATAACGATAGCTCCATCATTAGCGCTTCAACAGGAGTAAAAACTTTATGATTCTTTAATATTCGACTTTATTATTCAAAGATTCGCTCGCAATAAGAATCCTTAATATCGACAGTAGCTAAAGTGCGATGAATATTTACGATATAACCGATACATCATCCGAGCTGGATGCGTCATTAAGCTTCGTCAAAGCGGTCAAAGTCTTACGGAAGGATTTGTCCGCTGCGTTGTACGCTATAATACCGCTCGATATGCGCGAAACGATAAATGATGTTAAAAGTCGTTTCTGCCGTTTGTTAAATCCCGTTTTCCTTTACAGAACATCGATGTTTAATCCTGTGTATACACACACAGGATTAACACGATTACACGACAGGATTAAACATCGATATGTCGCAATTATACATCCATATGTCTGTACTTGCAGAAGAAATGGCGGAAAAAGCACCCGTGGAGAACATCCACGAGCTGTACAGGCTCTTGATGCAACGTAACGCGCTAGATAACGTCGGCTTCCCGCTGGAGCACCTGATGATCCGGAAGTCGCAGCGATCGCCGTCGCTACGTCTTCGGTTCGGTCGGTCTGGACCGCATATCTCCGTAAGTTCTCGCTGTATGTTTGTCATGCGACGATACGTAAACGTGATTTCTTAATATCTTTGAAGTAAGCTCTTTGGGGAAAACACAAAAGCTCAATAACATATTAAGCCCCATCTACATAAGTCGCAAACGCACAACGCAAACGCATACGCGGGGAAAAAAAAGAACAAAACGTCAAAAAATAAAAGAAAAGAAAGAGAGAAACGTCCGCATTTGCGTTTGCGTTTTGCGTTTGCGATTTATAAAAATGGGGCTTTATATTTATTTAATTGTGTACGTCTTGTTACACTTGAATATTTTCGACGATATTGCCAGAAATATGGATTCGATAATATGTATAATGCAAAATATAGATAGGTATCATTAATCATGGATTGATTTCAAGGTCATATAATTCGAGATCATACATTTCCAGAGGCACGGAAGGCAGAAAAGTTTCCTTCAAACAATAATTAGTGTCAGAATATAATTTTAATAATAATTTTACGCGTTTATATTAAATATAAAAAAAATATTTGAAGAATGAAAAATACGAAAACATTAAAATATTAAAAGGTATGTAAAATTATAAAATCATATAATAATTACAAGCTGATAAGTTTGATATAAATATATGGAATTCTAGCTTTTGCAATCTTTCTGATGAGAATTTATATATATTGCGTAAAGTAGCCTTAAAATATTAAAAGAACCAGCTTTTATCTACAGAAGAGCAATTCTAATAATTAATTTGTTTATTTCTAACGTGACATGTAAGTTCTAGTTTTTGAAATTTATACATTGCGGTAAAGATAAATGTTTTCAGAAGACAAAGTTAAAACGTCAAAACGCGGGTTATTTATTATTTCCATCTGTATAATATATTTTATGGTATGTGAGCTCGTTGTTGATGCGTATGGTAAAACATCATGTGTTTTGTATTATGTAAAACACAAGAAAGGCTGCGTTACATTTAGGTCTTGATTCTAAAGTAGCTGGGTTTAACGCTGATGTGACCTATAAAATTTTTTTTCGTTGCTCCTATCCTAATTTATCGTCAAAAGTTTCGCATAAGTTTTACGTAACTAAATATCGAGTATAAATAATATAATGGCCAGTAATAATTTGCAAGTCATTTGTACTGTTATTTTAGCGGTTTATTTGAGCTAATTAATTAATAAGCTGAACGGATTCGCGCAATTTATTATGTCATTCAAATCATCTCTAACTATAAACTGATTAAAATTAATTAATTATATTGCATTAAATTCTCGATACTACATATTTATTATTTTTAACGCAATTTACATGTATTTCACGTGCGTTTTGAAATTATGGCTGACGCAGCCACTTGATCGAAAACAATTTTGATGTAAAACGCGATACGACGATTACGAAAAGAGACAGTTGCTGAGGTTCAGGAACTACAAAAGAATTTGCACCATTTCTCGTACTGTATGCCTAGTACATTTTCGTGTCATCGGAATTCTCTTTGAAATGGATATGCTTGTTTTGCATGAATTACTTCTGTTTCTGGAATGCGCGCAGTTTAATTCGTAATGCTTTTCGAGTCCCCTTTGCATTCTACTCTTAATGTGGCGAGTATTCCCTGGGAGATTAATTTTCTCGTAATTAGTGAGAGTGACGCAGCTCTTGCGAACTGAAGTGTGTGGCCGCGACGTGTGCATGCCGGTTGTCTCGCAGGACAATGGGGATAGGGATTATTCATGGTAATTAGAAAAAGTAAGAGAAACGTCCCTCTAACAAATATTTGAAGTATTAAAACGTTGATGAAGTATTCAATCGCAAGGCCTTAACTGTGCTGTGGGTAAAATATAATATTTCGCGTAAATTGAAATTGACTCCGTATACACCATCATGTAAAAATACTTAAAATCGAAGCCTAAAAATACATGCAAAATGTTCTGTAGATTTGCCGGTTCTTTTTCAACCATTCCCCTTCGATAATTCATTTTGGGATAAATTTCTGTCAGAGTCTGTGATCAGTAACGGAGACTTAATTCAACACTATATATCTAAAAAAATGTTATTTCTACGAACTTATCTTTATTTTATTTATTTTTTCACGGTATGTTAAGAGACCATTTATAACTAACCGTTGTCGTTTCTCTTATGATAAATTTCGCAAGACATTCTTGATATTACGCATAAAATACAGAAACGTTTTTAATTCTGCTTGGAAAATTAAAACGCATCTTGGCGTCAGTTGGAACAAAATTCACCTCTTAGCATTTACATATATATTTTATAGCATTCATAACATTAATTGTCGGGATATTAACGTACATGTGTGCTAGAATATCTCGAATTCACCGAATCTGTTCAAAGAGAATTGCGACATGAAAGAAATTACGAGGGACGTCCGCATGTACCTGCAACCTCACATGCAAATTAAATTCATACATCTATCATTTCTCTTTTAATAAAATGCCAAGGCAAATACTCAACGAAATAAATTCACTTCGTCGTAGTGCATGCGCTCTAACGTCGGAAATGAGCAAATGACATTTTACGAAGTCGACATAAGGGCGACTATATATGTTTGTCAAAAGTAGTATGTTTCGCTTGCTCTTTCATCGTACACACATATAATATATACTAGTATATATATATTCGAGCAGAGGAATGTAATTTTGCCTCGTAAGATTCGCGAGAAAGAGAGTATGTGTTTTATAATAAATCAATTTTACCCTTTTTCCGCCTCGATTTCGATTTTTACTATGTCATGCTCAGAAATTATACAAAGGCGCGCACGCGACGCGAGCGTTATGCGAGACTGCACTACGAAGGTATGTGCCCCCGTTCGTAACTTGCAGGCATAGATACGCCTCGCCCAGTGATGATATGATGTATCGCCGGGGAAAGAGCAGATACGGAATTTTCATCTTCAAAAGTCTGGCAGAACAACGTTATAACACCTCGTGCACTCGACGAAGCGTCATAATGACCTTTTTAACAGCGATATATTGTCACGTCGAAAAACGTTTTTCCTCAGTTACCGATGTGATAAAAAAAGAAAACTATACCGATTGCGCCGCGGCACAATTATCATTTATCTTCTCTCGAGCGATGTTAAGAAACGAATGTCGATCTGATACTTAATGATATTAATTGTGATAGAGAGGAACGAATTTGTACCCCCTGCGAATATTTATTCCGTACATATATTTATTTATGTCACACAAGGGATAACTGCGGCTCACAGTTAGTTTGAAGATGAATCTCATACCCGATCGAAAGCTTTTTTTTTTATAAAGGGCCGTCTACAATGGGAGTAATATTGTGTAGTAAGTCGTAAGCCGTAAGAAATTGACCAATCATAATTGATTATTCATCACATATATTTGATTATGATTAGTTAATTTCTTGCGACATACATTTTATTACATCATATTATTGCATGTAAACAGTCATTAATTAAGGCTTTCGATTATCTATACTTTACAAGGTATCTAATATGTTAAACAGCGCTCTTACTTACTTATAATCATACAACTCTATTCCTTACAAAAAATTAAATTGAAAAGTCATGAATCATTTTTCTCTACAACGCCCAATAAAACGTAATTGTTGTAATAGTGATCGCTTCATTGAGCATTATGGAAAAAAAATTGTTCAGAAAAAATTGTTCTTTCTTTTAACTTAGTTTTTACAAGAAATAACGTTAGTGAGTGATATTTAAAATACACCTATATACTTAATAGAATACAATATTTCGTCTCCGTCCTGCGTGAGTCGCAGTTAAGAGTGATGTCCAGAGACGAAAAAAACCGCAGGCGTAGATCTCTCTCGGTGACAAATTACAAATGATTGTAATAATTCAATAAAACTAACTTATTCCCCCCCAACGACACACGGATCGAGAGACGAGTGATAGACTTGCTTCCCGGTGAGGTTTCACGCGGATTTCGGATGTCGACGAGGGGGAAACTTCGCGTTCCATCGCATTTGACAATTATCCCGCTCTCCCTCTGTAAAAAGTTCCCCGCCGCCGGGTACGAGGGCTGCACGATACCGCAAATTTGTAATGTACGCCTTCGCAATAACGACGAGCGGTTGTGCGACGAGTACAAATTCCTCAGAGCGACGTGACGCATTACTGAAATTCTTATCTGTATTAGCGAAACCGCGCTGACGACGGCGTTATCGATCTGTTAGCGATTCGAATGGCACGTGGACGGTTCGCGAGAGGGACCATTTCTCTCTCTGCCCCTCCCCCCCCCCTCCTTCCCTTCGATATCGGGCGCACTTACATGTCATGCATAAAACGACGCGGTTAAAAATAGTAACGTTTCGTAACGCTGAGTGCCCGAATCGAATAGCGTGTTCACATTAATGACAACAATTTCCACGAATTACGTATATTATACGTAAGATTATGATGACAGGGAGAGATATTTTCCTTAACGAGAATTGACCACATCTTCTTATTCATCCCGCGCAATTTCTTTCCTAAGATGAGATCGTATTAAGTATCATTTTATATCAAGGAGCTCTTCTTTGCTTTGAAAAACCAAGCTTCCCCAAATTGCATTTGATTGTCTCGATTGTCTTTGTCTCCTAATTGAGCACACGTGTATATACATCGTAAATATTGCCAACATAACAATATAGTTTCCTCACTTCATATAAATCAATACTTATGTTCGCATTATTGTGCATCGACAATATTACAATTTTTATTTAATAAATTCTTTGCATTTTACCCCTTCATCTCGTCACGCTTTTAAATTTTACAAAAGTCCGCGCGTCGCAGAGACACCCTTCCGGCGAGCCCGAACAGCCTCTTCGGCTTCGATTTACACGGGGGCACGGCGAACGATGGCGGCGGTACTGAAATTGGATTTTCACAAGCAATTAAGTAATTAGCGTCCTTTCGCTTTCGGTGTGTTACAGGCGGGAGCTTTGCCGAGACCCCTGGGCGCGGTGGCTGCGGCGGGATACGACGACAACAATTAAAATCGGCGGAGCTGATCCAGCGGCATCTTTCCGATTTGTTTCTTGATGAGAACGCGCGACTCTATACCCTCTCTTGTACAATGTAAATTATGTATTAACTCATCGTCATCGCGTACCACCCTGTATATGCATCCTGCGCGCGCGCTTTCCAGGCCGGCGAGAGGTAAATCCCGAAAATCTCGCGTTTCTTACTTTCTCTCTAAAAGAGAAAAGAAAGCGAAGCTTTTGGTGGAACAATTTGCGCGTCACGATCCACGATAATCAGGGCCGATTGACTGATCGACGTGAAGAGGAACCGGCGTGACCATCGCTGTTTGCACGCTTGATTTGCGCGCGCGTTTAATCCGGAGCGACGCGTTCCTAGAACGACGGTTTTATTTTCGTAACGACGCAATCGATTCCTTCGCTTTGTACGAGATTTTGCGGGATTTCTGACACACTGTTCAACACTTAAGTGGAACGCCGTTCCGTGAGATCCATTCCGTAATGGCGCCCGGCTATACTCTATCTCGTTGTCATTTCCGTTGATTAAGTGGCAGCGCTGTAAAAAGGACACTTGGCCTAAGTCCTTCGATGTGAGATAACAGTGTAAACGCTTCGGTCGCTACGAACAATTTATCCTTTGCAATTGTTTCCTCGTTTAATCGGCACAGGAACACAGAAATCATGTACTTTGCGCCTCATGCATTAACGTACAGCGTAATGTCTCGGACTTTCCGGGTGATTTATTAACGAATCGAGAAGTGATTTCATTTTCTTTGGAAAAAATTAAAATGTTACTTTTCCATAATTAATATTTAATATTTTAACTAAGAACTGAAATGTAATTAAACAGATTTAAAGATATAGGATTTTATTGCTCATTTACGCTTTTAAACTTTAATTTATTACGCTCTCTCTCTCTCTCTCTCTCTCTCTCTCTCTCTTTCTTTTTCTGTTAATAATAAGTTATAATTAGATCTTTCACTGAATATTTTTTTTTAATGTCAAAGAGAAATTTGTAGTTGATAAATCTGACCTGGAAGATTATTTCGTCATTCTGGGGCATCGTATAATTTTCAACAGCTGGCCTGTTGGTCAATCGATTAGGCGTAGTCTTACGATAAATGTGCCAAATAATATGATCGTTGTTATTATTAAAGAGAACAAAAAGCATCTCTGCATTATCTATGACGTATGTATAGCAAAAACTGTAACAATTAAAAAATTTCACGCGTAATCGGAGATCGATCTCGTAAAAACTTTGGTGCAAAATGCGAACTGTTTATCAATTATTTGTTATTCGCCACAAAAAGAGGGTCGCGTCTCAAATATGTCAATATGTCAATTTGCAAAATTAAAAATAAATTATTATGTAACACTGTGTCACATTTATTCCTCTGCTGCAAATGTGTTCTACAAGATTCTTGATTCACCCCATGTAAATCCCGTGAGCAGAATACTTTCCGTGTGGATACCTATATATTCACGTAAACGTGCCTCATCTACGGAGCGGAATTACCGGCAACCGCGAGCGCGTTAGTTTATATTATGTAATAAAATAATAGCAGTTAGACTTCAACGAAGTTTTGACGCTCATGACGGTGGTAAATCTAAATAACGGGGGAAAAAAAACGGAGGAACCACTTAATTCACGTAGCTAAAAGGATTTTCTCATCTTCCAGACGGATTAAAAGCTCGTTGAAACTTTCAAAAAATATAGACCTTAATGAAAATCGGAATTGAAAACTTTCGGTGCTGCGAGAGTAGTTCGCACGAAACTTCTCCGCGGGCAAGAAATTGGTGACCGTTTTACTTCTAGATGCATTATGTAAAACGCACAGGCTACGTTTTACCGCAAGATATCTTATCGTCAATGGCTATAAACGCCAGAAAAATATCTCGTAGAAAGAAACGTCTCTCTGCGTAACATTTCGAGGATCTGTCATTTTATTGAAGTAAACGTGTATATTTCGTGGAATTAAAATTCAAGTTTATCGAATAACTTGCAGGAGAGATATTACTTAACTGCTATACGCGTGTGTGCAAAATTACTTATTTAAAACGTGTTGACCTGACGAACGAGCAAATCCTCTTGATGGATTGCGCCACTTCTTTATCCTCGTGGCTCAGGTCCCCGAGGTTCTTGAATTCCGGTCTTAGAAGAACTTGACTTCGTACGCGCTCCAAAGTGATCGACAGAGGCATCGTCAATATCCTCGGCCAGTTCGTTGCCTCGTAATTAACCATAAACTGAAACATACGCGATTTAAATTCGCAACGCGCCTGCTGCCGTTATGAGCACGACGGATTTAGGGCGTACCGAAGCACGTATACGGAAACGTGTATAACTTTTACTTATACTAACTTGATCGAAGCGCGTGTCCTCGATGTGAAACATTATGTGTGTGAGGGGTTTCACGATGGGCGAGACTTCCGGCAGATTGGTCAAATCTACCTGCCTGCTCTCCTCGCCGCGACGCAAGTTACTCAATACCCAGTCGGACGCTCGAACTAGGTACTCGTATGCGATCTGTGGCACACAAAGATCCGTTCACGCATAAACGCCGTTAGATTCCGTTTCTCACGCGACAAATATTAACGAATGACTCCCGATGGCAGTAGCTTTAACTCACTTTCAAGGAACGTCGCCCGATATTCGTGAACAACAATTCGTCCGTGTAAGTCTCGATGACGCAAGTCATGTTCTGTAATTCGCTGTTTCTCGGATTCTGATCTTCTTTTCCGAGACTGTAACAAATTTTCTTTTTTCTTTTTTTTTCATTTAGATGAAATAAAATGGAAAAATATGTAAGATTCAATTGATCGATTGATATTAAATTAGATAAAATGTAATTGAGTTATTCGCACAGCTACGTTTTTAAATTATACATTTTGCAAATTTCATTTTCTAGAAATTTTATTAAATGTTAAGCTTGGAGAAACTGATACTTCGTGATATAATACGAAGCATCTAGATATCTCTTGCAAACGTGAGCTCATGATAACGTCATAAAATTATACGTGACACAATACAACTTTTCTCTCTTCTATTTATCTCTTATATATTTACTCCGAGCACGAGTTATAAATAAATAAACACATTAGAATATAATCCAACGCATTAAACGCTGTAATATAATTTAAATTGTAATACTGTATAATTTATGATAATACGTATTATTACGCATACATTTGAACATGAAATATAATAGCAGATTTTATTTCAAATCGTCTTTTAACATTTCATAATATTTGTTTAAATTAAAAACATGTAATTCTCGGAAACTACTCGACACATTCTTATAATAATACAATAGACAGCATTTTAATCTTCCTAAGAAGCTACAAATTGTACACTTCTTTCATAGCAGCATCTCAAACGGTAATAATACAATTTATAACATCACGGAAGAAAATTGGTTGTTTATAAAAACATCGCTATTATTATTAGCCTGTAACTAAGGATAATTACAAAACAACATTACTCACCTGTCCTTTACAAGAAGCAGGAAGGAGTCTATCTGCGACGTGTGCTTATTGTCCTCGTCGATGCTGCAAATCGCTTCGGCGAGCGCCGTCGCGGCGGTAGATCGGTTATACGGATTGAAGGGGCTCAGCTCGCAGCACGTGTCCTCGGAACCCGGCGTACCATGGACGTCGTTCCTGCCCTTCGTGGACACGTCCAAGAGGGTGGAATACAGTGCGGCACATAATACCTGGAGCAACACGTTGCCGCCGATCGGCCGACAGTGCGCGGGAATGTTGTCGTTCAACGCGAACGCGGCACGTAAAACCGGAGTCGGGGCGGTCACGTACAACTCGGCGAAGCAGCCGATCGCAAGGGACATGGCCTGATATATGCTGGCACCTGTCTGAAGATAATTCTCTAGAGTTTATCGAGTTTATCTAAAACGCTGTAACTCGCATGGCGATATCGAACTTCATAATTTATTTGGCGTCTCTCATGACATCCTGGTGACGTACATACGATCTTAATATTATTTGGAATTTTTTAGCGAACAATTTAGAGTTAAACATCGTTATAAAAAAAAAACACAACAGATATAAAATCCTTCGAACACGTCGAATCACGTTCGGTAAGTAGATTATTGTATAGTAATTACTTTCGCGGCTTCTAAAAGCACTTCAGCCACCGGTTGCATCATGATCTTCAGCGGTTTTACCAGCGCATTCAGCCAAGGTGGTCGCGATTGATTCCAGACCTTTAAAACGATAATTGAGTTATAATTACGCTCATATCAATACATTCAACGCCTTCGCATAGAAGATAAAACGAAATATTTAAAAGTTTGACAAATAAAATTTTTAAACATTGTTGATCTTTTTAAATTATTTATGTTGTTATCAAAAGCTCAAGAACTTTTCCCTTTTTCTATATAAGTAAATCATTTTAGAATGTAGACTATCACGATATTTGCAGTTTTTATATTTTATATATAGCATTATATATATAATATATAAAATAATTTCTGTAATTTTAAAATAAATTAACATAAAAATGCATATCATCATATTAAATCGAGTTATATTACGCAGATTGGATTTTAATGAGAATTGTGTGACACAAATTATACAGAGTGAATACTAAGTAATGAAAAAGATTTTAAGGAATGATTTCTCATACAAATTCGAAAACTTCATATAAACATATGTCCGATACGGTTTAATTTTAAAGATAAAAGTGTCAAAGTTGAAGAAAAAATTTCGGTTTTTTTTTTCCAAAAATTTCGAAAACCGCTCGGGTTATTTTGGTGAAGGTTGTATGTTTTAAGTCTTGGTGTATGTTTTAAGTCTCATCAAATTCAAATGGTTTTTGAAAATTTTTGAAAAAACAAAATTTTTCTTTCAATAGTTGAGCCGTTTCATATGTGCATATGAAGTTTTCATCTTGAATTTGTGAGGAATCACTCCTTAAAATCTTTTATGTTAGTATTCACCCTGTATATATAATAATTTTTGTAATTTTAAAATAAACAAATTAAAATAAAAATGCGAATTATCATCATATTAAATCGATTCATATATATTACGCAAACTGTATTTTAACGAGAACTGAGGTAAATTTATACAATTAATTTTCAAACAACATTACGCAAAACCACACGACCTGCTGTCTGTCCAAATAATTGGACCAGTCCGGATCCTGCTTCAGCGCCGGTATAATTACGTGCTCCGGCTCGTTAACAGTTACCACCAATGCGTGAAATAAGCTGTATAGTGTTAGATCCGAAGTTATTTTAAGCGTTTTATCGCACGCCGATCCGCTGCACAGAAAACCGCTGCAACTTCTTTCGTCTCTCTTCGACTTGTCGGCTGCGTCACTGTCGTCCACGCAGGTAACGCCCACGTTTTGCCGTACCAGAGTCTTCAGCAGCATCCTCGCCACGACGTAATTGCTCATCGATATCACCTGCGGGCAGGGAGAAATTTCATAGGATCTAAAAATGAATAGCTTCGTTAGCAAATCGCATCAGTAATCACCTTCATCAACTGAGGCCAGTTAGGTTGAGGCTGATGCCTCAGAATGTTCAACTCGAGAATGACAGCTTTATCCTCGGGTAAAGTTACAATATCGGCAGGAGAATTAATCGCGTCTAATCCTAATAAATTTGGAGCGCATATCAACAGCCAAGGTGCTGGACCGCGTCGAGGCCGCAATATTGCCAGATTTTCTAATCCGTGTCGGAAGATCTGAATAGCAATTCGTTGTTAAGAATATAGAGGCACTTTCCTTATCGCGCTAAATATATACAAGCGAAATTTTACCAAGTTTCAGAAAATAATTACGCTTTTTTATCTTTTCTTGTACAATTTTATACAATCTTAACCCTTCGGCAAATTCATTGGCGCAATATTGGATCATTGTAAATTTACATTGGAAATATATTATATGCATATTGTGCCAATAAATTTGCCAATATTATGCTACTAGGGAATATAATCGAATACAAGTTAATTTAATTATATAGGGACCGCCCTAGTAGCACAATATTGGCAAATTCATTGGCGCAATATTAGACCAATGTATTTTCAATGTATTTATATTGGTAATACATTTAGTCCAATATTGCGCTAATATAAATTTGCCAATTTTGTGCTACTAGGACGATGGGAATATGTTGAAAGTAAATGGTTATTACTTTGCAACAAATAGACCAAACAAAATAAATAAAATATTATTTTATAGAGGAAATTTGTCAATTTTATTATTGAACATCTGATTTGTTGTGAAATCACCTCCCCTCCCCCACCCCCTGTATAGACCGCGAGCTTCGCATCGGTATTGAAGCGGACGAGAACAATACTCGAACATATCATTCAGATACTGTAAAAGGAAATTGAGACTTTTGTAAATCGGGGCCGACTCGAATGGCGGTACGAATAGTGCAGGACTTCGCCGCGCGAGCGAGATGTGCAATACAGTTTTGCGCGAAACGATCGTCTCGTTACTTCGGCATAGCCAGTCTTTCCAAATTCTCAAAATTTAGTGACACCCGACCGAAGGTGCGTGAAAACTTTTTCACACATATGGTAATAAAGTTGACAAGTTTCCTCTAAAATGGCGTTTTGTTCATTTTGTTCGGTCTATTTATTGCAAAGTAATAACCATTTACTTCCAACATATTCCCATTAGTCACCCTGTAGAATTATTTAATTAACTAATAAAAAAATAAATAGTACGTTTATTTTCCAGCTTGTTAGAAAACGAAATATATTCCGACGCTCGAAATTACCTGATACAATTCTTTGAGAGGAGTGCCTCTGAGCAGCAAGCAGATTAACAGTTCGTTACATTTTGCGTGTACATCTCTTATCGCTGTCGGCAAATTACTCGGACGTGCGCCGATCATCCCGTCGCTGTCGACACACGCGCCCAAAGCGAGATAGCCCGTGCAGCAGAGCACGTTAAAGGCGTCCGACCAAAATTGTTCGGACCGCGCCAGCGTCGGTCGTCCCTGTCGCGCAAATTTTATTTTTCCTTCTTTAATTTCCTATCCCAATTATTCATACAGACAACATCCAAACAAGCGCGCCTCAATAAATCGCACGCGAATGCATAATGTATATGCAAATAAATAGAAACACGGAAAAGAACTGAAACGAACAAAAATCGATTTCACGTTCGGTCGAATGTAAAACTCGCGTTGGTGACCGATTACGATAACAATAATGCATTCGATGGAGATAAAAAGAACACACGAGGTGAATCGGAAGATTAATCGGAGCCAGTCGTGAGATATCTCGTGGCCTTACGTGAATGAATCGCGTAGTTATGATAGACAGGGACTCATTTAGCATCTCTGAAAATACGCGCTGTGCCATCTTAGGCGAGACCGTGTTCCATAAATCTGCCTTAGTACCTGGAAATATTAACATATCGTTTTTGCAGAACGCATCGCGCCCGGGCGTCATAAATCTACCTCCGCGGAATATCAGAAGAAATTACATCGTGAAAAACGAGTCGAGCGTTGGTTTGTGTACCTTGCATATACAGCCACCACATTTGTATAACGTAGGAGCATCGCTCCCTTTCGAAGAACGGCTTGTCGCTGTGCCAGCTGAGAGAGTCCGCCTCATTGAGAATGTACAAGGAAATTAATCGACAATGCAGATCGAGCAGTCTCTCTGCCACAGCTTCGGCCATTTCGTGGAATGCTTTGTGAGACTTATTGATCTTTTCGCTATTAGGAAAGAAAACGTTGATGAGATGCGAACATTCCGTGAACATATATATAAAGATACAAATTATTCGACTTCGAAAACAAGGACTAATTCATATTATAAATTCTAAATATGCGTTAATTCTAAGAATTAAATAACTGAATTAAATGAATTTTTACTGGTATTGCTTTCTGAATACCATAGCTTCAAGATAAAATAAGCTGTACTGTCTGCTGAATAATCATTTATGCTGTAAAATCAATATTTTAATTTTTATATGCGATATCGTATTTTATATTTATAAAACGTGATAGATGATGGAAAGCCATATTGTTGGAAAGCATATAACTGGAAAAACTATCTAAAATCTCTCTTACGCAACTGTTCTTGGAAAAGAGAAAATTTTCAATGTATAAGTTAAGATGAGAAACTATAAAATACATAGAATGAATACAGAACATATTATAGCTTTTATAATATAAAGCACCTTGATTGAGAAGAGATTGTTCCTTTTGCGTGCTGATAGTAACACCACAAACAATTACGTATTAATGCTGCTGCGCCCAAAGTGGCGGTGAGTACAGTGAGATCGGCGTGATCCAAGGATTCCTGGATCAACATGTGCAGATGTTCTAAAAGAATATATTGATATAGTCGAGTTTTTCTAGATGAAAGTTTTTTTCAGGATTCTACTTGTTTCCTCTGAATATTTTCAAGTTTGTAAGTCTAAATAGCTACTGCAAAAAATGATTCAAAACGCAAGCGCAACTTTCTTGCAAAGATGAATAGGTGAAATAGATTTAAAAAAGGCAGAGGTCAATAGCGGATTATTTAATCAACTTAGCATCGAGTTTCTTTAATCCAGCGTCGAATTATGGAAGTACTTCGACGTTAATCTCAAAAGGAATTTTTTAGTGAATTACCGGAGAATAATTTTTCGTCTAATTTATAATAGTTTTCAAAAGTAAATTTTTTTGTTCTTTGATGCTTAATTAGAATGTTAATGTTCGAAATGTTTCTTGCTAAAAGAGTCGTTATTTCTGCAAGGATAAATTGTTACTTTTATGTTCTCTAAAAGCAACGTACGTATAATTCTACATATCAATAAACATATTATTTTACAATATGCATATTAAGTTTTGTATATGTATGTGTTATTAAATTTCAACAATATTTTTTTATGTGTATTGCAAGAAAGTCTTTAAGAAAAATTATTTCAGACAACCTATAATTTGTCAGAATTTAGGACAAAATCCCATTTATAATTTTACGTGTCGTATAAAGTACGAAAAATATTTTTCTTTTAATAATCAGATTATACATGTATTAGTGCGAGCCATTCATAATTCCAAGAATATAATATTTATATTTATGACTAATTAAACTTTAATATAGTTTCTTTTACAGTCTTCTGATCATCTAATGTTTTTTCTCTTATTTTCTTCAGGCATTTGCCTGCCTTCTTCGTGCATCTCCTTTATATCTTCTCCATTAATTATAATTGAACTGAATATATTTATAAAGTCGCAATTAGTGTAACATTTTCTCGTAACTATTCGCGTTTACAATAAAATATATATCAAATAAGCGCGGGCAGAGGAAATTATAAATAGAATTGTGTCCCATTCAAAATACAAATCGTCTGAAACATCCTGACACATATTCTCGATCTAGGAACAAGATAATTCAATTGTTGATGAAAGAACAAACGAAAATCTGTGCTTAGTGAAATAAAATGTAATTAAATGTAAGTAAAATATCAAATTTATAATTAATTGCTCCTCTTCCTTTACGAGAGCGCGTCTTTTTCAATCTTTCTTTGCAACCCTTCCACCTCTTTGTATAATTATTTCGCATATTACATCAACATCCTTTTCTGCCACCAGATCAAAGTGTACCTAGCAGTTGCTCGGCAGTGTCGACAACAAGCAGGATAAAATCGGACGGCTTGATCTGTTTAATGACACCGTCCTCGCTGTCGACGCTGGACGCGCCTCCGTTCCCGGTGGAGCTCAAACCGGAAGCGCGCTTAAAAGCGGCCACGAAGTCCGCTTCCCACCACGTGACGATCTTAATCGCGGCAAACGAGGCGTGCCGTGGAAAATCGAGCTTTCCGCCGCTGATCCGTATGCAGAGGGGCTCCCTCAGAACGGTTTGCATCTCCTGCATCGAAAACCGCGATGTAGGTAACGCGAGTATAAATTTATCTTTTACCACAAATAACAACGCGCGAATTGTACTCGATTTAAACCAAAGCATCCCCGACGCGAACGTCCCCTCGTTACATTTCGATTTAAAACAAACGTCGCGAAATAACGAAACACATGATGACAAATAATTGCTCGATTTGCACGTTGTATCTACGCGTATCCGCGCGCGGCGATTCTCCATTTTCGAGATCACGGCCGATAAATCAATCCTTCCCCGTAATTAAATCACATCGTGCTATGCGGCAAATGGAATAATTTCGAAACGACGGCGCGCTTCCGATACGTTTTAAACGCCATTCGGAAGCTGCGAATATAATCTACGCGCTGAAAGCACCGCAAAGGTATCAAACAGTCGCGAAAACTGTCAACGTGACAAATTCTATTAAATCACTCACTGGCTGACTGCGCGACATAGAAATTGCATTAACGGCAAATGATATATCACACTGCTAATTGCTACCTGGTAATATTGCATGTCCCGTTGTAACAAAATTCTTACGCGATCGACCAAATTCCCATCTTCCATAATCTCCATTTTTGCTCTCTGTCGAATAACACAGAAGACAAATTATATGCTTGGACGGCCCTACTGATTTCATCGGCTCGTTATGCATAATTTTGCATAAAGCAATTTTGTGTAAAGCAAATTCTACGTGTAAGTAAAATTGAAATCAAAAGCAATATTTTGGTGTAACATAGACCTGTCTTGACTATTTGCGTTTTAAACGGTTTGAAATAACAAAAGATGCTTGTCTTATATTTTAAAAATTTCAATAAACTACTAATACGCAACAATTCAATGAAAAATACGAAGAACTTAAACAAATTAAAGTAAATAAATAATAAGATCAAACTTTCAAAATACAAACAAGAGAAATTTGCTTAAAATATATCATTCAAAATTTATTTATCTCATTGTAAATAACAGTCTCATTAAACAAAATCTCGAATTTATTAAACTGCATTAAATTGGAATTAAGCGGAATTGATTAAAATTTTATAAATATGATAGCAATATATGTATTTTATGCTGCGTTTATTAGAAAGATATTTACAAAAGTAAATACAAAACTATCGATTTAAAATTTGAATAATGAGAAAGTTTTTTTTAGAGAAAATATTACAATACGTATAAAACTTATTTAAATTTTAAAGACTAAAAAATTACACTTCTGTATAAATAATGTGTGTCAAGCATATTTTAACATGTTAGTATATAGGATATTTGGCACAGATAGGAGGAAGTTTAAGAAGTAATTTTAGATGATGAAAAATGGAAATCAAGAATAATAAAATTGCAATTAAGGTTTTTTTAATGATAAATGTTTAAATATTTATGTAACAAGTACCTAAAAAACGTGAATATTTGTAATTAAAAAATAAAACCTCCACTGCAATTTTATTATTCTTGATTTCTATTCTGTCCTATTTTATTGTCTAGAAGTATCCCTTAAATTTTCTCTCACCTGTTGCCAAACATCCTATATATAATATATAGGATGTTCTTTCTTTAAGATAACTCATATTTTTCAATATTTCCTAAGTTGTAAAAGTATAATAATAAATAACAATGTACATGTGCCATTACCGAAATTCATTGCTAATGTGGTGCAAATATGCAATATTGTGATTTAACATTAAAATTACTCACGTGAAGTTTCTTTAATGTAATTGCAAATCAGCACTAACATATATATGTATCGTATTCTCTCAGCTTTTTATATTAATTTTATGTACAACTTTTGTCAAACCTTCAATAATGCCTACTAGTCTTTAGTAATAACATCAATCAACTTATAGATTCTCGCGTCATAATTAAATTTCTATTAATATTTTTTCTTACAAGGAGAACTATCTATCACAGCTTGTCTCTACCACTGAAGGAACATTTGTCAAAGCACGCTTCAATTTTTACAATTGCTGGTATCTCATTATTAAGCAGTTCATGTAAGGTTTTGCCATCGTGCTTGTATATCCATTGGCTATTTACAAAATCGTAACGCTTTGGTCCAGACTTCGGAGAGGAGAGCCAAATTTGCTTGTTCGGCGTTTGACGGTTTATAACATAGGTACCATATGGCTCGCCGAATTTTATGGTCAAGACACCGTCCTGCAGCAAAAGTTTCAGACGTGTTATCACACAGATATGCGTAAAACAAGAGTTACAGCATTCCCTCATTAATGTACGTACTCCGTAAGACACATCGGCGTCTGGCAAATGCGTCGCTGCTTCAACCAATTCCTCAAAGTACTCGGTTAACGAGTCCAAAGTTTCGTCACAAACTTTCTCGTATTGCACAGAGCTGAGTTCGCTAAAATCACGCAGATAATAAGCTTTTCTTTACATCAAATGACTGAAATGACACATGCAGATGTTACACATTGTTATAACACATATTATATAAGTTCGAAGTTTCACGAATTACGTAATGATACTTACGTTTCTGTCGAATATCCAGTATCCGTGCTGAAATTTTTTACAGACGATTGCAGGAACGTTCGTGGATTTCTCTTTAGAAAATTTGTTGAATTGTGATTGACATAACCTGCAACGTAGCCGGGCCTGCTCGGTTGCAGAACGGCTCGTTTCTTGATCGAAATTCTACGGAGGAACGGATTGCGAGACAGCCTCGGGATTATGCCAGGTCTCGTCACGACGGTTAACATGATAAACAGTCTCTCTAAGCAGTTTTATCGATTAAACAAGTTCTCTGGTTAGTATATACAGCGGACTGAGCGGACACAGGCACGCGGTACCTCTCGATGTGTGTTTACATCGCTGCGTCGGTAGCGTCACACATCACACGAGGTCACCCGCGGTCACGTGCGCAACAATAAAATTGTTCTTCGTACATATAGGTACCTGTGGCGTTAAAATTTTAGTATTTTAAATGGCATTGTAATAAATATATTATTACAATGGAGAAAAAAGATGAAAAGAAGAAAGGCTCGGCTGGAAAGGACAAAACCGTTATCAATTGCGGCAAATGAAAAGAGTTAGCTAGATATAATTAACAAAAGTTTATTCTTTATAGCTGAACTTTTGTATTCTTCAGCTTCCCTTTCTCCAATTATATATCTGTCTTTCGCGGTCGGTCTTTCCAGAAACTCTTGAAAATATTCTTATTATTAAGATTTATTAACTAATTAATTATTTTCATTAAGGTCTTATAATCATCTTTTCGCGAAACGAGCGTGGGAAGTTATTTTCTCTTTAATAAATTGTTTCGATCATATTTTGGTAAATTAACTTTAATTGCATTTGTATTAAATTTCCATTATTTTCTGACAGAATCTATTTGTAAAATTCATTTTCAGTAAAATTAATTATTTATATTAATTTTAATATTTATATATAAAAGCTTTATGAAAAATTTACAATTTTTTATCACAGATTTATATTACCATATAACTATATTTATATTTAAATATATCGTTTTCATGTATACTGTTGGAATTACGAAAACATTAATTAACATCTAGATTCTAGAAGTATAATAATGGACCGGAGATATTTCTGCTTTTACGCGCGGGTATTTTGGATGACTCGGTAATAACGTCTAACGAGGGAATTCCAAAATGATAAGACGTAATCTGCGTGACCACGACGAACGAGGAAAGCGTAAAGGAAGGGGCAAGAAACTGATGTAGAGGAAACTGCAATGAAACATTGAAAGCGCGATGCGTGGTGTATGTCAATCTTTTTTTTCTGAAGACCGTGCAACCTCGATAAATACTGCGTCTGCAACGTCAAGAATCTGTAATCGCGAACATGCTCTTCTCCCGCGGAGTCGACCGTGCAATAGTCGGACTAATTTTCGCACTAGTATGCGTACTCACGAAGCCAGTGTTTCCCTACGACATACCAGATCCAACTTTCGAGGTGTTGAAGCCGCAAGGTGTTCGAGTCTCTATACCTGGTAGGTTTAACATCGTGATCCACGTAGAGTTCTTCCTCCTCTTAGAAAGTATTGTGACAATCAGAAGTTTTTTCTTCTACAAAGATTAAGTAAAGAAGAATCTCTCCAAAAGATAGTTCTTTCTCTAAAAAACTGTAATAAGATGTAAAAACTGTAAAAAGCTGTAATAAGATGACCTTCTTTAAATTACACAACATTAATAAATGTTTAATTAAATTCCGTTGAAGAAATAATCATTATTGCGTTTACAATGCACAAAGAAGCGTAAGAAATGTATTAAACACTGTATTTTACATATATGAAATATTTAACGTAATTTACATGATATAATAATAAATGATAATAATGATAAAAATTCAATTATTGTTTTAAATTATATAAAAATCTAAATAATATCCTAGCAAAAAATTCATGAAAAACGAATCTGTTTTCGTAATTAAATTCGTAATTGAAAGATATATTAAAATATTTGATTATGATATCTATGTAATATGAATGTGCATCGTAATCGCTGTTAATGTATACTACTGATATCAAAAGATTTGTCACGCAACAGTTAGGTCAAGTCAAATATTTTTTTCAAATATAAAATATCAAATGTGTGTACATTTGTGTTTAATTTGAGAAATGTATATTATTTTTTAACATATACATTTTGTAATTCTGCGTTGCTTGTATATTAAACAATGATATTAATTCTCCAGATAAAATAAGTGTAAATATAAATTTTTCCTATAAAATAAATACTATTAAAGTTATTGACGTTACTATTACTTATTAATTATCATAGCGTTATTGTTATATACATATTAAATTTTTCTATTAAAATTTTATACAAAATCCATAGAAATTGTTTGAATTATATGTAGTTTAATAAGTTTTGTAAATTGAATATCAATTATATAGCTGATCGTTTTTATATAGATAATATATTACTTTTCATTTGTTTCATGTATAACACTTCTAATTATAGATTAATAAAAAAATAACCACATATATAATTACTATATAATTTCTTACATTCATAAAAAAAATGTGAAGAAAGGAAAACTTTAAAAATTTTTCCAAATAATCTATTTTTGAAATTTCCTGGAATGTAAACAAAATATAAGAATCATTCCGAAATGACGACTTTTCTTGGAATATTATCTCATTAATGCCAAACATGTTTTTACTACGCTTTTATCATTATAGTATCGCAAGATTAATGGTTATGTGACCTGAGAAAATTTGAATCACGATTAAATTGTTTTAACTCTTTCAATATATTTTGTGTTCCTCGATATATCTTATATAATATTTCAAGTTTTAATGTAATTATATTTTTAAGGAAACAAATAAAAATAAATTATTGTTACAATAATAAATTATTACAAAAATTTTATAATAATATATACGTATGTACATATAATTATTATATACGTATGTATATATATTAATTTAAAAAATTAAGATTACTTAAAAATATAAATATTAGATGATATAATATATAGCAAATCACACATCTAAATAATGATATTTGAATAGAAGAAATAAAATTTCTTATTTAACGAGAATGTGATTAACAGATGCGCCAGATGTAGTAGTTTTTGGATTCCACGCCAACATCAATAAAGCAATTCGCCCTAATGAACGCGGTCAGATCGCCGGTGCTATCTATTCGGCAAAAAACGGCCGCTGGACTGTTGAGAATTCGGACGCAATTATAAAAATTGGAGATGTACTACATTATTCGACTTATGTGCAAAATGCCGAGAAGGCTCACTGGAAGAACGACCAAAGATGGACATATTCCCGTAAGATTATTTACATAAACACGCAACTTCTCTAAAGACCGATATAAAAATAACGGTACATTGTTATGTACGTAATATTTCAAATTAATACGCGGTCAGGGACGGAGACTTCCTTATGGAGGGTATGAAACTTTCCGCACCCAAAATTCCTGTGGGTGTGAAATTCCACATCCAGAATTCGGGGTATTTAAAAAAATATATTTTTGACAAATTTTAATAAAGCAATGTAAATGTTTAAGAAATTTTGAATGATTTGACAAAAAATGGTATTTAATTAAAGTGCCCATGCTGCACGCTGTGTACATGCTATGTACAACAAAAAAGATAAAATATTTGTATTATTGAAATCATCCCTCCTTTCCCATTTGGAGGTAAGGTACTCCATACTCAGAAAAATCAAAAGTCTCCGTTCCACGCGACGATGGAAGATCAAGCAATTGATAGTCAAGAAGCTATGCTGAGTTTTTCAAAATACGAATTCCAGCCACAGTTCGATTATTATTAGAGGATAATTTTGATTCTTTGAACACATCAGTATGGAAACCCGAGATAAAAATACCATTCGATCCGGTAGGTATTCTGAGTCTATTATTCATTACAAAATTGTTAAAAAATGCAATAATATAGTATAATATATTTATACATTCGTACAAATATATATATAAGGAAGCATATATATATATATATATATATATATGTCCAAATATATGTAATGTGCGCAATGGCGATAGACATATATAATATATATTTCATTTCTTACTCAATAAAGCTGGTTGTGTTGAAATTAGGATTACGAATTCTGCGTATATCACAACCGTAAGAACCATGAAAAACTTGTACAAGTTCGTGGTAGTAATTTGTTCATACGTCCTCTAATGTTGGAAGATTACTACGGCGAGAATGTGACCGCGTATGGAAGATTGCAACTTAACGGGTAAATACGAGCAAATAAAATTTTTACCTGCACTTCCTTTTACCTGTATATAATCTATCTTTTCGTAGATGCACGAGCACGATTAACATCGAATGTATGCGGCAGGCGATGTCCTTCAATATTCTGCCACCCGTTATATCCGCACGTTTTACCACGAATGAACGTTTCGACCTGCGATTTGGAAAGATCGAAATACGAGCGAAGTTTCCCGAGGGCGACTGGCTGTATCCGGGTAATTATGCAATTTTTCTATTGGATGCGAACAAGACATATAACTCTATAAAACCGTATTATGCAATATAAAACACATTGCGTTGAATGTACAATGCATTTAAATTCATTTAAACAAGACCCAAAATATATAAGGCAATTTACATACTTTTTATTCGTAATTAAATGCAAAATACATATTATAAAAATGTCTTATTAATTATACTAAATATAAGTTAGCCATACTCAGTTAGTAATATATATTTTTGCAGCACGTTTTTTACATTTGTGAATAAAAATAGTAAATTGCTTTATTTTTAATTCGAATTAATTTGCATGGTATTGTATGGTTATACAAAAAAATTTTCATTGCTCTCGTCAGTTTTATGCTTTTCTGCAAAAAAATTCAATCAGTTAATTCTCTAACATAAATTTTAACATAAACAATATCTATCAATAGTAAATATTATTTAAACCTAATTTACTTTCTGAGAAAAGTTTGAAATGGAATTTATTGGATCACAATCTATAATACTACTTTTCTTTGAGAAAGATATAAAAGTTGTCAAAAAATTCTTAGAGAAATATATAAGCCATAATTATATGCAGAGAATACTAAATATTAATAGTATATTTAATATGATGTGCTAAAAAAATATCCTGTTTTTTAATTTAAATATTTGAATGGGAGCAAACACAGAATGTAAAACACAGGAGTTCAAAATATATATTGTAATAATTTGATCAGAAATGTGGCTTGAGCCACGTTATCCTACTTACGGTACAAACTACGCCAGCGGCCGCATTCTTCTGGGTCTATCACGCGGCAATGAGAATCTGATGAATGCCACGGACAGTTCGAAGATCTATGACAGTAGAAGATTGGATTTTGGCGTGAGAATAGGCCCATCCCTTAATGAGATCCGAGAAAAACTCGTCACGAAAGTAAACGAATCCGGGCCACGGTGGACGAAAGATTTCCACGTGTACACGACATTCTGGACCAGTGATGGTTTCACGTTTTTGGTCGACGGCGAGACAGTTGGTCGAATAAGTCCTGATGAAAAGGGATGGATGAATAGTCCTTACATAAACAGAAAAGCTGCCCCGTTCGATCAAGAGGTAACAATTCAGTGCACAATTTGTTACTGCAATAAAATAGTTCCATATAATTCTTTGCAGTAAGCATTTCTACAAGAACATTTTTATATCATATTTTCATTATATCAATTTATCTTATATATGCAATTTATACAAATTAATTGACATATATATCAATTAATTCATTAATTTATATAAAAATATATATTTATATATATTAAATATATAAATATATTTATATATTAAATATATAAATATATATAAAAATTGTTTTAAATTAATATTTATAATATTTTTGTATAGTTCTTTATCACTATCGGCGTCGGTGTGGGTGGAGTACGTGTATTTCCAGATGGTATACAAAATAGGTACGGAATGCGAAAACCATGGAGAAACGTGGAGGCTAAGGTATACACTTTAATATTATTTAATTCTTAGCTTAATTTAATTCTTCTTTCGATATTATTTAACTTGATTTAGATATTATTTCATATTAATTAATTAATTATCTATGTAATAATTCTAATATATTTTGATGCTTTAGTTTTTATTCTTAAGATACTCTCTTAAAATCACTATCCGTTCTTTTTTTAACTAGTTACATGAGGTATTGTCTTCGATTGCAGGCAATGTTGAATTTCTGGAACTCTCGGGATCAATGGCTACCAAGTTGGAAAGAAGATGGAAAAGAAAGCACTAAGACTGCTTTTGTGATAGATTACGTCAAAGTGTGGACTCTGAATCAACAAGATTAACATACGTGCATTATTTTTCTTTTTTGTATCATATCTACCATTTTCCTTTTTATCATTCGTATTATTTTTAATGGTAGACCGGATCTTTTATCGCGCAGCAAAATATATGTTCTACGCGTAGGCATTCAATACTGCCGCGAACATGAAGAAGTAAGCCGTCAGCAAAAATCGGCAAATCGTTTACCTTCTGATTCAATAATGGCAGAAGATTACAACGTTGTCCGCAATGTTATTACTTGGAATCCTCACCGAAGCGCATAAAGTCCTTTTTACCTGCATAACGCAATTAGAGTCCTGTAATTGGACCGCTTCTGTTTCTATAAAAGGGTGAACGATGCTCCCGCGAAATCGGTAAGAAATTCAGGGTCGCCCGGAGCTGGTTTTACCTTTAATGATGCCTCCATTAGCCGCTCGGACGATCACCCCCTGATAATATTCCTGCCGATCACTACACGAACATAAAAATTTCTTAAACCAGCGCGAAGTTTACCAAGGGCATGCATTTTCTATGGGAAAAGCAACACAGGATAGATTGGCTACCATTAGTCGTACTCGCTTTAACTAAATTTTGCATTATGCATTATATCACTTTTCTTTTTTTTTCCTAATGCAATAGTTAATTTTCTATTCTTATATTTTCTACGTTATAATCAAATATATATGCTGCAAGATTACATAATAAAAGAATAATCAAATACTTATTTATATTTCAAAGAAATATTACATCATATGGAATGCGGCAACGTGCATAGCTCGCAGCTAAAAATACCGTGCCAAGACTTGATATATTATGGCGAGTGAGTGATGACTGTCAAGGTCATCCCCGTGATCAGACTCGACGTTTACTCGAAGTTTCGCTTTCTATCCTGTCATGGAGCTTTGAAAAAAAATTCGATTTCCAAGACCGCGTGGCAAGGATTTCTGCCCGAAATTGACAGAAGCGCATTTTAAATAATGTACAAAGAAAATCAGACGAAAAAAAAAAAAAAAAGAAAAGTACGTGATTAAAGTACAATGCCGACTTTCGACCTGGACCATCATTCAAACCGGTTTACCTCGGTTAACGTTGTGGAAACAAGAAAAAAGGGTCATCGTGCGGTTTCTTCCGTCTGCTTCGCGGTATCGCGACTGATGCTCCAGCCGGATCCGATTAATTTTAACGTCTACGGTGCGCGCACGTGTGCTACCCTACCGTGGCATAAAATCTCGAAAAAAGTCGAACGACCTCAGTTCGGCTTTGGCGTCTTGTCCGGTCTCGTTTTTGCGGCCTCTTCTAGCGCGCGGCGAAACTTTTTCCTTGCGAACAGTCGATCGATAGCTCCCGCGGTAGCTACCACGATTTCCTCTCCCGCGATCGGCAGACAATTCAAACTGTTCTAACTCCGCAATACACTTTGCTATAAATGTGTGTTAACTCGGTTAACTTTATCTTAACTTAAGCCAATAAGTCAGTAGTAGCCAACAGGTCACTAATTGTGCGGAGACCTCGTGACAGATAATGACACTGAAAAAAGTGACTGTTATTTTAATCGTCTTCGTATGGGCCACTGATTCTCTGGCGGATTATCATCCTCGTTCAAGGCGATCAGGTAAGTGATTTTATAATATAATTTTTACTGTTACACTGCATACTATGCAATCTTAAGATATGGATCTGTAAGAGAATAATATTAATATATCCTTGCCTAGAACTATATAAAATTTTTAAGTATATTCTGAATCAATAGATATTTATTTTTTAATTATATATCAGAATGATCTACATATTCAAAATGCAAAAAATTAAGTCATTTAAAGGACATTTCATAAAAGACGATCAAAATACGAATTTAAAAAATCCTTTTTACAGCGTACACTTTTTAGTTAGCATATGCATATGTGACAGTGATTTATTACCTGTTGAACGTAAGCTTCAACAATACGTACATATATTTAGCGAAGATGTCATTGAGAATGCATGTTTAAGTATTTAAATATAAACAGTTTATCTACAGCATATCAATTTTTTCCATCTCTAAATGTACGTATTCTTGAATAATTAAAAAATTTACTTAAGAGCATAAATTGTCAATATGTGCCGTTGATGAAACCAGCTTTATATAAGAATTATATAAGAATTAGATAATTAAGTATTATACACCTTGTAAACATTTTTTTTCAGGCAACGAATATATACTGCACAGATGTACAGCTACGGCGGAATTAATTAGAAGGCATAGGAATGATGAGGCCGGTGTCAGCTCGCGCAAAGCCGAAGGAAACTTGGCACAATCGCAAACGCAACAAAAAGGTTCTCTGATTGATGCCATTCAATCTGAAACTTCCAAGCAAATTATGAGCGGTGTTTATCGACGTATGACTCATATGAGGAGACGCGGTAGTGGGCACGCACGTCGAATCGCAGGCAAACATTTGGCAGATACACCCCTCAGAACCGTGAACATCGACGTACCGCAAGACAGACCATCGGCCTTCAAGAAGAAGAGTCCGTTACCGGAACTCGCGCGGAATATGTCTGGCAGAAAGATCGATTCGTCGCCACATGTAATAATTATCAAGCCTGTTACTTAACACTTTCCCAATGATATTCAATTTGTGCCGCCGCGGATTCTGATTTTACCGCAAATTAGCGTAACTGTGTAATATGCGACTATTTGTAATAATATTAATGATAGGACATAATTTTGTGGAATAATTTATCGATCTTGTCTTTCTACAAATATCATTAAGAAATGTTACTTTTAATAACTGCGGCTTTTTAAAATAAGATTATTTTTTATCGCATAATTAAATTTTCAAACACTAAAATAAGTATTAAATGTTAAATAAACTTCAAATGTACTTTTTTTGTAGTTTACATCGATAAACTATCTACAACATAAATCACATAAACAATTATTCATAGTTACACATTACAGCTACGGGTTACATATCGCAGCTATACTTTCAGACAACTTCTCCATCTCAACCTGCAAGCAGAAATTCTCAGATAAGTCAAGATGCGAATAATTTCGAGGTTCTTTTTTTTTTTATATTATGAACCCCCTGGACCTTGGTCACTTTCATCGCTACTCCTTCCGGCAAGTTTCTTTGAAGATATTCCAGGAAAGTATCCGCTGTCGAGCCAGTCAATTTCAAGAAGTCCAGATAGCGATAGTAGGTCCTCATCTCGTACTGGACACGGTGCTTTTTATGAACGTGAGCAGATTTTAGCACTGTCCATCGTTCGTGGATAGCTTTATGCGGCGCTGTACTGTAAACACACACAAGTGCCATTTTAACACATAACGTTCGATCAGCCAAATATTAATTGAAATTAAATAACGGAATAGCTACAACTTACTTTCTACCTACGTTGATATTTAAATGACCTGCGGCCATCATCGCGAATTCTCCATAGCTCTTTAACACCGCTTGATCGTTTCCTCTGACCTCGACCTCAATCTTTTTATACAGCTTGTCTGGCGTGCCCTGAAATATGAACAATCTATTTACACACGAGTATATTCGAATAAATGAATAGAAAAATAGCAATAGCTTGTCGCAGACAGAATTTACCATGTTCACTGAAAGCAAGGACTGCCCTGTCGTTGAATCCTGCTGCTGCTGCTCACTCTGCTGTCGGTGCGTCGACGTGAAAAACTTCACGGAGGACACGTCGCTTCGTGGACATTTACGCGCGACAACACCTGGACAGCCTGATTCACGTTGTACGACACCGACGGTGATATTTCTGAGAAGAAGCGGTATCTAACAGAAACATGATACGGTTAACACTTAACCTCAATCGCAACACACATTGGTTTCAGGTTAAAGTTTCCATCAAAAAGTACCTTCGACGGGAACATTTCTTGTCTGGTTATCGACGAACGGAAAATTCCAAATTGCGAGATGATCTCACCAGAAATTTTACGAATTTATTATTCTCGCATTCAACGTAAACATATCCGTTTAGCCGAGCAAAGCATCACGTTGTTGATCTACAACTGAAGCCTAATTTGCCGCATCCAACGATCCTAACCTCACGTTCGCTCGCTGCTGGGCAATTGCATAACTGTTGCCTCTGTTGAACACAGATTGTACATACAACTCAACGTACATACAACCGTAATTAGAATTGTATAATAGCTATGTCGATTGTGACAACACCATGTAATATGTTTAGCAGCAATAATGAAATTTTATTAGCAAAATTTATACATATGTACTTGCGGCATCGGATTAAAATGATTTATGTTTTAATACCCAAATATTGCAATGTTAATTGTTAGATTATATTTGTTAAAGGAAAATTGATATTTATTAAAGTTATAAGACTTTAATAATTTTGATTAAACATTGACATGTCTTTTTTTTTTAATCACAGAATAGTATCACTGAATATGCTACTCTTAAAGTTTACAAATGTATATAGATACATGTGCATAAAACTAAACTTATATATATATATATATATATATAAGTTAGAAAGAGAAAATTATTTAATATATGCATATCCGCAAAGATTATCTAATGACGTAAATTTCTTAGATTCTTCAAAGATTATAAAATATTTAATACAAAACATTATATTATTTTGATCTCTATTCAGTTTATAAGAAACAATATCTGTTATAGAATTTTATTTACTTTGTTTAAAATTGTTACAATTTTTGTTTAAAAAAAATAGACACTGTTATTTATATTTAATTTTTAAATATAATAACAAATACACATACAATTTAAAAAATTTTAAATACAAAATATATGACATGTTAGCTTAAATGTAGTTCATTATATTAAATGAGAGATAAAAATTCTACATTTGATGCTTACAACGCTCTTGAAATCATTTCATCCTTGTTTATCAAATGTCAAACAAGGACAAATAATTAATGCTCATGAGTGCTGTAAGCGCCAAATGGAACGCAGAGATAGTCAACTGTTATTACATACATACATACATACATACATACATATATATATATATTAACTGCAATTTGTCATATATTACATATGGCTTATTTACGTTGCTTGAAATTCCCAAAATTTTTGTACTTAAAAAGAGATAATTTATATTCGAGCGTTGGACAAAGCGAAGACTCTAAGCGCAAAAAGCGCAAGCAACGCGAACAGACCTCTCTCTCTCTCTCTCTCTCTCTCTCTCTATATATATATATATATATAAATTTATAATTCACATAAATTATGTTATGTATGTATGTAAGTAGGTAGGTACAATATTCCACATGCATGTAACCTATTTTTTATTTCTCTCATTGCAAAAATAACATAGCCAATCGATAATATTCATGTACAAGAAAATAACTAACATCGTTAACTTCATTGTTAACTAATATCGCAATTTTTTTACTTAATTAAAGTACATATCAATAAAGTGCACCTCTACATGAATACATTTTACTTGAAAGAATAGAAATACAGAAAAGCACTGTGTTGGCGAATGATCACAATGTAAATCACAATAACAGACAGATATATTCTAACACATCTTGCAATACGTAATTTTATTCGACAATACATATTTGTTGTGTATTTTTTAAACACCCATCTAAAAAAAAAATCGTGTTTTTTGCTTCATAAATTGAAAAGATCAAAAGTGACTCAAACTACTATTACTTTGAGTGTAACATTAAAATATTTCGTCTGTCTTAACTAACGTCGATCTTTAAACAAATTCGGCATAAAGGATGGGCGCTGCGGTCCCTGCAAACCGTAGTTCGATTGCCATCCAACATTGCTGCCAATGTTGGTTCCAACATTTGCGCCTCCTTGCCAATTGGTCGATGGTACCTTCTTATTCATATCGTTTAGAGGTAACCAACGCGAGTCGTTTATACTCGGATTATTACTGTTTTGCCCCAGTGATTTCGCTGGAAATGTTTGCGACTTGCTTTGCCAATTGTCTTTGGATTTTGCCCAAGGATCCTTGTCAGCTTCTCTGGACCAACCGGTCGACGATGCAGCCTGATTATTATCAACGTTCCTCCAGCTCTCCTTCAATCCAAGATTGCCATCGTCGCCCCAGGGATCCCGCGCGTCTTCCGGAAGGTCATTCCAATCGTCCTTGTCCCCTTGGTTCCAATCGTTGGACTGCGACTGTTCCCATCGCGGATTGTTTGTGTTCATCCAAGGCTCCTTGTTGCGGCCACCTAAGCTCTCTTTGCCTCGATTCCAATTGTCACCACTTGATCTGGAGGGACCAGGCCATTGTCTGTTGTCTGAAGTCTGCCATGGTTCTTTCATATTGGGTTTTGCAAACGATTGTTTCGCGTTCCACGAGTTTCCATGAGACGAGGAATCTCTGCCATCCCAGGACTTGTCTTGGTTAGTCTGTTTGCGATATCTATCATTATCAGACACAGACTGCCAGTTCCCACTCGTTGTTGGTTGTCTATCGTTACGCCAAACGTTTTCCGATCTTTCGTTAACGGACCGTTGCCAAGTGCTGCTTTGTTCAATAGCGCCCCGACTTGGTATGTCCCACTCGTCCGTAAATCTATTCGGCGGCGAGTTCTGACGCCTTGGAGGGGACAGCTGTCGCCTTGGAGGAGATTGCTGTCGCCTTGGAGGCGAGACGTTACGTACGTGTGACGCTCGATGTGGCGAAAAGCGTCTCATGGGAGGCGACTGATGCCGCGGTGGAATCATGTCTCTTGGTCTTGACGGAGACATCATTCTGACCATAGGCGACATAGGTCTTCTTTCCGGAGACAACTGCTGTCTCGCGGAAGAGTCATATCCCATCGGAGACATTTGTCGTCTCGGTGGAGACAACTGCGGCCTCGGCGGCGACATGTGCCGTCTCATAGGTGACATTGGCCGACCTGAACTTTGCATCGGTCGCCTTGGCGGAGAAATCGGTCGATTATGCGGTGAGAACGAACGTCTGGGTGGCGACATTTGACGTCTGTTATCGTCAGACACCATTATCCTTATTGGCGACACTGGCCGTCTCTCGGAATATTCTCGATGCGGCGAAGAGTCGTGTGCGTGATACGACCTGTTTGGAGAAAGATGTCTTCTAGGCGGCGAACTCGGGCGTCTCGGTGGTGACAGTAACGGACGCTTTGGCGAAAATCTATCCGATGGTGATTCTCGTTGTCTAAATGAAAAATCTTGCCCCCTTTTCATCGGGGATATAGGTTTTCTCGCAGATCCCGCATCGTTCCAACGATTTTTATCAAAACTTTTATTCTTATTCCAGGAATTATTTTGGTTTTGCTGTCTATTTCGGTTGTCAAATGATTTTTGAGGAAATTCTTTATTGCCTTTAAATTTTTTTGCTGGCATCACCATATTTGGCTCTAATGGTGCCAGGTTGTGATATTTCTTGAATTTCGGCTTATTGTTATCATCGGTTTCTAAGTATTCCTTGTTCGCTGTCGTAATAACGATATCCTGAGCACGGATTTCTTGTACAAATCGACCTTTCAAAAGGGGATCGTCGTCAAGACTTTTTACCGGAATCTTTGGCTCAGGCTCAGGTGGTGCGATACGATCCCACACTGAACGCGGCAACTGATTCTGAAGCTTATTGGTTTGGTCGAGAACCAAACTCAATACATTTTTTAATTCCTTAGCGGTCGTTGGGTCAACTATGGGAGATGGACCGCTTAATTTCTCTTTGGCCGCTTCGAGAATTTCTCGACTTTCATTTACCTTCTGTATTAGATCAGTGTCAATTCGATTACTCAACAATTTTTCTCTTAGGTCAACTTGTTCTTTGATCTCCCTTGTTTTTTTCTCAAATAACGGATTGATGCGAATTGTCGAGTTGTCATGAAGCCAATTCTTTTTCTTAGCTGCAACATCTGATTAATACAAAATTTATTAAATATATGTGTTTGTGTGTATTGTGCATGATATCATATAACGTCTATTATATTGTAATACCACTAAACTTACCCTGTTGCCCTAATTTAGGCTTAGGTCCAAACTTATCGAATTTCTTTGGCACTTTCTTAATTTCTATTATGTCAGGCGAATGGTCTCGTTTCAATTTTATTTTACCCTTTACTGGTGAACCTGAACTGCTTTTCACCGCTTTGGTTATCTTTTTCGTGATTAAAGCTTTTGCTTTTTCCACGAGTTCGGGTTTCGCTAATGGATTCTGTCTTAATTCTGCATCAGCATCTTCACCTTTGTCACCGACTGTTTTCTCTAGAGTCTTATTGTTAGCCAACGTTTTGCTTTCTTCTTCCATCATCTTGATGAACCACGGCTGCGTGAGCCTGTGCATGAGTCTACGTTCCATTAGAATAACCACTTCGAAGTGAGGTCCAGTGGGCAATGTATCGACGACACATGCTCGAATTGGCATGAACGGATGACCGAGCCCATTTTCTATAGGCCGTGCAAGTTCTAATATCGCTCGAACTGACTGTTTTGTCAACGTAGTGACCATTACGATACGTCGAAGAGAACTGATTTTTCTTAAGCATGTCATTACTTCAATAGCTAAAAGACATCATAATTTTAGAGTTTTATTATCGCATGGTATATTGTGACCGGAATGCTAAATGTTATTAATTAATCGCCAATAAAAACTAATAATATTAACGATTAACAAAAAATCAATTTTGCGTACCTCTACCCATATTGGTGCTCGCATTGACTATACAATAAGTCACACGATTTTTATTGTGTAAATCACGCGCAGAATTTAGTTTATTTACAACTTCGGATGGCGATCCCATTATAAACGATGCATTGTATATGTCGTTCATTTCGCACGTCATTTCAGCTTCTTCTATTTCCGAAGGTGAATCAACTCCTATCACTTCTCGACATTTCTGTTATAACGATAGTACAATACTCTTTTCATTAATTTGCTTAATTAATGAATTGCGTTTATGTACATACATAATACGCAAATACGCCTCATTTGGGTTGTTTAATAATGCGTTTACTTACATACATATAGTTTATGTAAGCTACGCAAGTACTTACAGATGCTATTGTAAGTCCAATCACACCGATTCCACAACCGATTTCAAGTACTGTAACTTTTTGCGAGGGCTGAAGCATGTCCGCAACTGTTTTAGCTACGTTCCATGCACCAGCGGCATTACACCAAAAATTTGTCTTTGGCGCAAGCTGCACTTTCAGACTACCCACAGTCTCGTCTAGAGCTTCTGCTCCCACTAAGAATGTCGTAACGACTTTATCATCGCGTCTGAAACGAATGCAATGAGATATGCAGATTTTTGTTATTTTCGCGTAATTCGTTGTCTTGTTGAACTCTTACTTGTTCATCGATTTGCAATAGAGAGATTTGACATTACAATTCCTTCCTGGACCAGACTCATACGTCTGCTTCAAACGATCCATAATGCTACGACTAATATTTTTTCCGGTTGCAAAGAGCATAAGTTCATCCTTGCTATTGCAACGTACCAACAAACACAACCATTGTTGTTTATTGTCTTGGTCTGTATCTTTTTTTGTGTCAATATCCATAGATATGTCATCTGATGGATTTTCATTAGAGGTAACTATGTCTTCAGTCGTTAAAGTTGTTTGAAGAAAATCTTCAAATATCTATGTACCAATAATCAACGATATTATAGTTCCCATATAACTTACATCTAATATAAGTTATTTAGAATAGTTATGTCTTTTTCATTTAAAATATCATTTACATATATATACATACACATATACATATACGTAATATATGTATATGTATATATATTTAAAATGATTAAACTGTAAAAACATATTATTTATATTATTCATAATTTATTATGTAAATATAATAATAATATAATAATATAATAATAATATGTAAATATAATAATAAATTATGTGCTATTAGTGGTGCCATCAATTATTTTTTATCATTTTGTTATTAATTTATTTCTTACACAAGTTTATTTTATAAATTAATAAACTTGCATGTGTTTATAGAGTACCATTGAACTCAATGTCAAAACTGATACAGCAGCTTTAATACATGAAAATGCCTAATATTTGCGAAAAATTCCAACCTCATACTATTTAACATTTTTCCTTTGAGGACGAATAAAAGATCTAGTCTACTAAAATAAGATTTAGGATTCAGAATAACTGTGGCAATTTAATGCTATCATTCGCGAAAACGTTTTTCAAAAAGCTCGAAACAATTTATTAATTCATGCTAGAAAGTGCGAAGTTGGAGAAACTTTTGAGTAAAGAATTAAACATAATAAAAAATGTTAAACAACATTTACTGTTTCAATTCATGTTATCTCATGAAAGCAACTTCAATAGCCAATAACTTCTAAACCGTTTAAATTCAGACATAATGTTAAAATTTATTAGGCATTTGATTTGTTTTCATGTGCTAAAACCAGTTTTAATGCTGAATTCAGGAACAGCTTGTATGTAAATTGAGCTTTTAATCGAATTATCTATATGGTAGACATTAAAAGCATATTAGACAGTTCTATTGTTTTACATAATGAAACTTATATTGTGTTTTTATATTCATTATTCATATCACATTGTAGGATTTTATACTGCAGAGTTATTTAAATCCTTTCATATCTCAAGCGTATTGTTTTTCAACGTTTGTAAAACTGTATCTTCATCATTATCTTCATCAGATATTATTTGCATATAATACAAATAATTCTGATTATCAATATTATATACATACATATACATATGTATATTTATATATCTGTGTGTGGTTAATAGTCACATTTTGCTTCCTGTTTTCCTTCAAAAAGCAAGTTCTTATCTGTTTGACGTAATGATATCAAGAGACGTAATGATTTAATGTTTAATGTATTCTTAATATATAGTAGTATCAAACAAATATTGTACAATACATATTTTTATAATTTTCATATTGTTTTATATATTTTGTTCATTAAAAGAGCATTATGCATCTTGGAAATAGAAATTATTTTCAATCTTGAAAGGAAATTTCTACCAAGTGCATTTATTATATTGCATCTGTAGCATTGTGCATATTAAATATTGTACATGCTCTCTTTTCTTCCTCTCTAGTCTTATTTTATGCATAAACGTATATACAATTAGTCATATGCATATCTTTTGTTCTTATTACTGTTATCAATCAAATGCAATCATTCTGTTGCATACACAATTAGGTTTCCAAAATTTTCTTCTTGTATTCATATGTGTATGTAATTATTCATATATTATATACTTTTATAGTATATAATACAAATTTAATATATCACTTTTAAAATGTCTTTTCTTATGTGTAGATTTTATATGTGACTATTAAAATTGGATAATATTCTTCTAACACACGTAAACATCTTTCTTTTACAGTTTTACAGTTTTTTCTACGATACATATTAAATGTATTTATAAGATAGAGGAATTACTTTATATTTTGTACATATATCTGGCATTATTGTTCATAATTATTCAAATTTCATCCAGTTTTTACAAGATAGGAGCTGTTCACGATGCATGCGTATATGTTTCAAGAGCTAAATATTTTGTAAATATCTTATAAACATAAATTGCATTCACATATCAAAAGATAGATAAAACATATATATATATATTAAAATATTTATAAGTTTTATTCGTTTTTTTATTTTATATAAAAACTATATAAAGAAAAAAACGAATAAACTTTTTCTAATAAATTTACCTTGACTGCCTTTAATACAAAAATTGGAATATCAATATTATCGATATTAGTAGCTCCTATTCCAATTGGTAGAACTTGCCACATTACATTGATAGCATCTGGATCTAGTTTTATAGACTCCTCTATACTTTTTTTCCTGCCTACACATACATATCATATTATATATATATATATATATATATATATATTTAATTATTAGATTTTGATCATTTCTACTTACAATATCTCTTTACATAAAAAATCAATATACTGCAATATTTTTAATATATAAAGAAGCAAAATAAAGTTATTTACATCTCATAATCAGCTCAAAATAAATTTATTATATATTTATATTATATGCAATTTTCTACAGAAATTGTTTTATTATAGTATCTTAATAGATGTAAATATTAATAATGTTAAATAAGCAAACTATGAATCCTTAAATTAAAAAGAATACAAGTAAAAAGAATATGTATACAAGAAATTAGTTAAATAATAACTATCAAATGCACAAACTTACCAGTTTCTTTTTGTAATATGTGCTTTCTTCAATTATATGCGAATACACTTACAAAACAAAGTTAATATTTAAAAAAATTCAAAATATTTTTTGTACTTACATTGAAATTTCCATCGATTGGTATTTGGATTTTTTAATGAGCAACGTCGCATCGGATCTATCTTACATATAGGCGATCCTTCTATCTTTTCTATTCTTTCTAACCATTTCTCATAAGAAGGATAAGAAACTATCAACACTCGAGCCAACTTTGATAGTCTGTCTTTTAAAAGGGCGTTTTTCTCTGCAAGCTAAAAAATAATAATTTTCGTACATACATCTTGCTGTTACAAATTTTAATATAATAGTTTGATAAAAAATGAGATTTATTAATATACCTTCTGTTCATACCACTTAATCTCTGGAAATTCTTCTTCAATCACTGATATTTCATCTTTATCTTCTTCCTGTTCTCTTTCTTTAGTGAACAATTCTGACTGATTAGTTTCCTTCATACACTGATCCACACCAAAGGTTTCAGGATCCAATTCAATATTTTCTATTACATCCAAGTGATGCATCACATCTTCATCTGTTACTTCCTTCTGTCCATCAAACTGATCCAAGTTAATATCAGCAGTGAAATCAGCGGTATCATTATTCGATTCTTGATCACATTCCATTGAAGTCAATTTTTCCATGTTGTTGTCGTGAGATTTTATGCCACCTGCAATATAATAATCTATAATAAACATTCTATATTGTATAAGAAATGAGACATATGAATTCATGCTTTTAACGTCACAAGATTTGTTATGGTATTAATACGTTTGGTTTTAAATTGAAAAGTACTTATTTCTTGGGAACTAATATCATAATACCATTAGCTTATAGATTATATGTTTAATAGAAGTAATTATATTAAAACTATATACTCTTTGAAGGACTGGCTGGCTGAGCCATTTTTAGCTCACATTAGCTTAATTAGATGATAAAAAAATCATGCCTTGTATTGTATAAATATAGTGCATAAAACAGTAATTTATGAATTTTACATTTTACAAAAAAGTAGTTTTTCGAAATTTTCTTTCATACTCTTGCAATATAAAGAGAATATACAAAGTGATTTAAAAAAAAAGTAATTAATATTCATTGAATCTCGAGTGACTCGGCCACTGCCACTCGAGAAGTAATTGTAAGAAATAGAATCCTTTGTCTAACCAGTGGCAGTTTTGGGATCTTGTTGCGTTGTTGTACTATCCGACTTTGTGCAAGTTGTAACTTCTGCCTGCGAACTTTGTGCTGCTTCAAGTGTCTCTGCATCCGTGCATTCATCTATCACTTCATAGCACTCTTCTTTGTTCATAACTATCCCAGTACTTTCTACAAAACACACGTTAAATTGCATACAGTAGAGACATTAGAAACGACTGTAACCGTAAATGATTAAGCCACAATAGATAAGCATATTTCTCGAATGTTCCGCTTCAAATCGACTTAAAAACTCCGCAAGCGTTTTCGACATAGCGTATCAGTTGCAGACTTGAAGACATTTACCCGTCAACGACGAGTCGCCCATGGCTCCAATTCGTGCGGAAAACACGGAAGTCGACGAACGGAATGACGGGGGGGAAAAAGAGAGCGTTATCGTCTTCGTGCCTGCGATATCAACAACGATACGACCATGCATATGACGTAATGCGGTGACTGGCAAGAGAGAATTACGGAATAGTAATTGGTCGTAGTTGTAAAAACAACAGCAACAGTGGCGGGCAGGCAGCACGTTAATTATAACGGCGTTATTATTATACGTTCGATCGTTCCCGTCGTTTACGAGAGGCAATTCTTACCTCGTTTGTCAGCTCCCCGCGTTTCGAAAACCTCAGGCAGGCACCCGAGGCAAGACGCGTGATATCCACCGCGATCTCTCGCCTTCCGCTTTCGCCTGCGACGTTCTTGTCTCGCACTCCTCAGCACCTATATACGTATATCGAACGCATTCATGAAATATTGAATGAGTGTATAGGCCTATTTTTCCGTTGCAGAGCGCGATGAGCTCGGCTATTGGCACTATTAAAAACGAGACAGCGATACAGTCACGCGTTGGAGAGAAGAGAAGAGAAGAACAGGAAGTATAAAGAGGAGCGAAGAAACATACCCTTAACGATTCTCTCGCCACTGAAACAGACGCGTTCTAAGAAACATCGGAAGTGTAACTCACGATAACCTAACCTAACCTAATTGGGAATTCCGAGATGCGTTCAGGGAGCGCGCTGTCGGCGCAATCGTGTGGGTCCCTCTAGTCAGCTGTCCAGAATCGAGACGTAAGCAAGCTCTCTCGCGATTGGTCGGCGCCATGTCCGGACCAACTGATGTGTTAGAGAATATGTGAATACGTGAAGGCCCCACACTACGGTCTTATGTCTTGACTCCGATCTCCGACGACTCCGACTAGAGGGACTCGTGTCATTCTATCCTTGTTTTATGTTCAATGAAGGATAGATGAAATGACACAGAAGCTAGTAAAGGTACCTTTTCATACTGACGCTCGACCACTGAAATATAATAATACATACTGAAACGCACGACGCTCGACGCACATTTTTAACGTCAAAAGACATTACATGATTGAAATTAATGCTTGGTATTCGTCGATTTTGATCATGTGATCTGTTTTGACGCTGAAAATGAGCGTCGAGCGTCAATATGAAAAGATACCTTAACGCGCTCCCCGAACGTAACCCAGGTATATTTGTAGTTACATTAAATCAATGCTACGTTGAATCGAAGCTATAAAACCTGTTAAAAAGTCAGATTTTTTTTATAAATCCGTTTTCAGACGGAGCGAGTTTGAGCGCTCCGAGAGCGATTAACGACGTCACAGGCTCTATTTTAGATTTCTGATTGAACGAGGAGAGCATGTGACGTTATATTAATCGCCCTCGGAGCGATCAAACCCGTTCCGTCCGAAAACGCTATTATAATTTGGTCTTTAAAATAATACAATAAATAAGATTATCATATTGCACTATATAGTGCATATATTAAAATAAAATTTTATTTCGCTTATTTTTTCCAAAAAAGTTTTCGTCCAGACGAAAAACTGTATAATCAATAAAATTGCTGCTTTTCCATAAAAGCTGCAAAAATTGATTGGCTATAATTTTCTGTCCGAGAACTTGAATCGATTTCTAGTATCGTTTATATGACTATAAAAAATAAACTAAAAGAAGTCTGATAAACTCAAGATATATCTATTTTTTCTATTAAACAAAATATGATAGATATGTATCCGCAAATGTAAATAAGATGTAAATAAATTGTCATAGGTCGGTAATCATGATAAGTCGATTTTTACATTTCATAAAGTTGATATTAACATCTTAAGAATCTTATATAAAGAAGAGAAGTGTCATTGATGTCAAATTTACAATGTAAAACAGATTGTAAAATTAAGATCTATTGTATATACGCTTGATTTGTACAATTTTATATGCATTTAATTGCATAAGCTAAAACTATTAAAATCATAAACTGATATACAATTAATTTTTTTTAATAATAGGAAATAATATATTTAAAGTTAATATTTTTTTTTACTTCGACAATTTTGAAATAGCTTTATTTTAACATTCTAATTTTGAAGAGAACATTAGTTTGCTTAATTCCTTTTTCAATTTTGGTAATAAATATACATAAAACAATATATATATTTTTTAATAAAAAGGTCCAGTTTCTTTAAAACTTTTTTTTATTACAACTATATTAATAATAATTTTATATTAGTAATTTATTTTTATATTTCTTATATATTTATGTTGACATAAAACGTTTATAGTTCAGCAACTTTTAAAAATGTTTTGTTTATTTAATTTAGTTTAGTTAAATTTTTATTTATTTTGTTTATTATTTGCTACAATATATTTAATAAAATATTCTAAGTGATAGATAATGACTTCTTCTTGGTCCATTGTGTAAAGACTCAATTAATTTCCTGTATCAATCCGTGCTCCATATTTTTAAGCATCCAACTAAAGGTAACACACAAATTGCCGGCCTACAAACTGTACTTTTTTTTACTATATTCCTTTCGGGTACATCATTGGAAACCCCATGGAAAAGGGTAGTAGTTCGGTGCGTCTCGTTTAAAGGGCGCTTATATCGCGAGCACGAGGGTGCGTCGAGGGCGCAGACGCGCGTCTTATGGATTTTACCCCCTCGTGTCGGGGGCGTCGGGTAAGGTCCTGGTGGCGGCCCGAGCGGAGAGCCGAAGGGGAATAGGGCGAGGGAAGGAGAGGGTGATTGTTCGCGCGCGGCTCGCGTCTGTGAAAGGGAGAAGGAGCGATGCGCGCACCAGCCGTGGAGGGAAGAGACGGTGGAGGAGAAAGAGGAAGAGGAGATGGACGAAGAGGAGGAGAAGGAGGAAGAGGAGGAGGAGGAGGAGAAGGAGAAGGGGTTGGGGGACCACCACCGAAACGACAGAAGCGACGGGTTGGGCCGGCCGTCTACAACGCGTGACCTGCCCGATGTCGCGGGGATGAACGAGTTCGCGCATAGTCCACTGTGTACGATTCGACGAAAGGGCTCTGACATGTGACCGGGCCGTAGTGTGCATCGTCCCGGGGTGCGTCCGTCCGTCCGTCCATCGGGCAGCAAGTTCCTGGTGCGAGGACTTCCGTGGTCAACCACGTGACGATTTTGGTGAGTTCCTCTTATTCGTTTCTTGATGGAATCTCGTGTATCGATGAGAGCGAGGGGTGGATTTTCTAATGGTGGTTTCGTGGAACTTTGAACATCAAGGTAAACGAGGCCGTGTGATTCTCGTGGATCTTGGATACTCGAAGGGGGAGCGGGGGAGGCTATCAAATATATTTGTCAATTATAATTATTAATTACTATCGTTTATTTCGTTGAGTATAAAAATTCCTTTATAAAATATTATATAAAGTGTGTTCGTGTTAAAAAATCATTAATAACTTTTTACTCCCGACTGCCGCCAACCGAAGGTTGGCAAAAACGGAGGGAGTATGCGTTTTTAATCTAAACATTTTTCTTTTTCTTTTGGAATCAATTATTTTCTCGGAAAAATTTAATTTGAGTAAAGTTAGAGATTATTGAATAAATTAAAAGACTAATCAAATATACTTTAGAAAAGATATGAAGGACACAGAGAATGTTTAAGAAGCAAAATCTTATCTTTTAATTACTTTTAAATTAATTTTATATATTAATACAAATTTTTGTCTCTATAGCTGTGTGTTGCGTACGTGCATGCATGCATGTGTGCGTGTGTGTTTACAAATGAGAATATTTGGAGATTTAAAATGTATTGTCACCTGTTTGATTCTTTATATAGATTGTAGATTGCAATGAAAGTTTAATGAATATTTAAAATATTTTATATGCATAAGCAGAAATTTAAAAAATTTTTTTTCTATTGCAAAATGTCAAGAGATAAACGATTTTGTTTTAATTAATTTTATATACTGAACATTTCGCTTCAATAAATCTGCAAATTTTTCTAAATCTCATATGATATTTTGTGAAATTTAGAACAGCGCCTATTGATTAGATAAAATTTAATTTCTACATAGAATAAGATATTTAATAAATGTACTTATTACATGATTTTCTACGAGGTCATTGAAAAGGAACTTTTTTGTGTTTAATAATTTGTTATTATCGCGAATATAATGTGTATGTAACAATTTTATTAAACTTTAGCTACGAATCACTATAAGTTAAATCATTTATATCATAATTTATATCAACAAAAATCAATGCAAGATATATTATACATATAAAACATATGAATTTATAATTTATATAAAAATTTTGATATATTATCTTAAATAAATAATATATCAAAATTTTTATATTACAGGGCGTTAAAAAAAATCATTCAGCATTTATATATGGTAGATAGATACATACCATACTGAGTAAAAAAAGTTTAGTGAACATACGTCGAAAGCTCAACCATTTCTGAGATATAAACATTTTTATATGTTAGCATTTTGTGTTATAGATGTAAAAACATCGCTTATCAAAAGCATTTTCATTAGCACGATCATACAAAAAATGCATATCTATCATTTCTTGAAAGTAATACGCCAACATTTTTAGCACGAGACCTTATAAATGTATAATTATATGGTGTGTATTATCTACTATAAATACTGAATGGTTTTTTTGAATAACCTGTATAATTTATATATATATATATATATATATATATATATGTACTAAATTTTATGTATACTATTCAACAAAATTAAAAGATCACCTTTATCCTCTAAAAACAGGAAAATTTCAAGATTGAGTAACTTCGTTAACGATTATAACGAGATTTTTCAAGTTAAAATCATTTTTTAACTTGAAGTTTCCATTTTTTAATTAATACTTTAGAAAACGGCTGACTAATCTTTTCGATACCGCGTAGATACAAATAGAGATGCGACAGATCGCAAAATTTTTTCCGAATTTTGTAAAATTCCATGGCATGAATTAAAATTTGCACACAAATATAGTATACAGTTTTCGAAAGAAAATCTTTCCTTTTAATTTGCTTTTTTGTTGAGCGTTGTACAATTTTTTTCACCGAGTTCAACATTGAATGAAGGACGACCTTTTTTACTGCAATATTAAAACTGGGTGAAAAAAATTGTACAACGCTCAATAAAAAAGCAATTTAAAGGAAAAGATTCACTCTTTCGAAAGCTGTAAATCGCATTTATATGCGATTTAATTCACGTCATGAAACTTTGCAAAGTTCGGAAAAAATTTTGCGATTTGTCGCATCTCCATTTTTATTCCTTAAGAAAAAGTGTTCCAAAAAACTGATTACTGTATCCGTAACTGATAATACAGCAATCAGTTACTGATTATAACTGATAATACAGCAATCAGTTACTGATTATAACTGATAATACAGCAATCAGTTACTGATTATAACTGATAATACAGCAATCAGTTTTTTGGAACACTTTTTCTTAAGGGATCTATACTCCGAAAAAAATCAGTTAGTCGCATTTTCTAACCTTTCTAAAGTATCAATTTAAAAATTGAAAACTTTAAGCTGTAAAATGTTTTTTTCAAAAATCTTCTTGTGATCATTTTTAATGAAATTACTTTATTCTAAAATTTGCTTGTTTTTGGAAGATTGAATAGGTGATCCTTTAATTTTGTTGAGTAGTATATCAAAATATTATACTCACACATAACAATAAATCACTATGACTATGAATTTCCGCGATTAATATAATAATAATTTCACTCAATTTAAAATTTAACTTCACAGATTTTATAATACTTTTTATTAATTTCTATTTTAACAATGTTTTGCGGATTGGCGCGTAACAGAAACGGTGTACATCACAGAAGTTTCTTAAGCGTCGCGAGTCTCTTCATCAATGGTCTCGTCGCATAGTTAAGAAAATAGTTTTGCTTATTTCGCAGTTTTTCTCTCTATCGTCGTAAAGTCATAAAGTCTTACACGCGACTGTCTTTCTCGATATCTTGCTTATACCCTCTTTTCTTTCTTTCGCAACTCGACACGCCGTCAAGGATTGCAACTCTCGCGAGGCTATAACATCGCGAACTTTCTCGACATACATACATGTATCGAACTCCATTGTAGAATTGCAAAATATATCTACATGTACATTGTTGTATCGAGCTCCATTGTAGAATTGCAAAATATATCTACATGTACATTATTAATGTACATTAATGTAAGCCATTGCATTTTTAAAGTGAATAGTAAGTCAAGCATAAAAATTTGAAAATTGAAAACGTAAATCAATATTTCAAAAAGAGAATTTTAGTTGTATCAATTGCTTTTGCTACTAACCAAATTTCCATCAAAAAAGAAAAAGAAAATATATTAAGATTATGAGCGTAAAGTACGAAATAGATGTATTAGGAAAAGTATAATGAACTCAATTGCTTATAAGTACAAAGTAATAAAAAGTTACGAATGAAAAAAAAATACTTTTACATTCTTGTCCAAGCTGCGAATCTTAGGAGAATCTAAAAGCGATGAATTCTAAATCGGAATTAAACGTAAATTTTTAATTCATATATTTAGATTAAAAAAGTTAAAATATGGAGAATGCAAGAAAGGGGAAGTGGGAACGTGAGACGGGAATAAATTTCTCGCGCCGCTGATGTAACTTGGGAATTTGCGTAATTTTTATCTGTTCTGTGAGGCGGTAAGTTTGGATGCACCGCGGCAAGTGTGACGAGGAAATATATTCCGATGTTACCAGAAGAAACATCGACGTTTCGTGCGAGAAGTTCAATGCTTACGATCGCGTGTCGTAGGCCGAGCCTATATACATATATATATATGTATATAGGCTAGTATATATATATATATATATGTATATATGTACGTACGTACATATCAAATACATACCGCGGAGCCACATGCCGGCCTGACTCGATTACTTTGGCGCACTTGTCGTGGGGTTTGCAGATATAGAAGGCGGTAGGGTTGCGCGCTCGCGTGTGCTCGGCACACGGTGGGGCACACGACAGTGTCGTGACGACACACGGGGGGAGGCTCGAGGTGTGCGAGCGTGAAGGTTGATTCACGCTCGGAGTACAACGCGGTATATAGTCCCCTTTGCGATTGTACCTCGATAAAGGCGATAGCGGCACCGGTACATAACAGCCGAATTTATTTCGAATTTCTAAGCGAATTGTCGTCGGCTATATACGAAAACAATTTCTCCTCTCGGAAAATCGCGCACAAGGGGAAACGTAAAATAGACTCGAATGAAGTAGTATCATGTAGATCGTGGCGCACGTGTTTCGCCGGGATATTTTCTCTCTCGCGTAAATCCGGTATCTCTTCTAAAATACTTTCAAAAGCAAATATTCTCAATCTGGTGAAATGTTAACGTTTAAACAGCTATATGAATTTCCAAATATATTACGCTGTGCTACTCGTGAAATTATTCTACGCTGTGCTATATTCGTGAACTTATTCGTTTTATATTTTTACTTTTCAGTTTTATATGAGATAAGATATATGCTTAAAGATTGCTTTGACCTCGTTTTTCGCTTCCCGTTTTGTTAACCAAATCTCTTCTTTGGAAAATTGTAAATATATTTTCCGCGAATGGAATACATTTATCAAACATTTGCATGAATGCGCTTTCGCGTTTCATTGGGTTCGTTAATTGGTATAGGTAAAACAAAAATTACAAACGTAAGTAAAATAATATTGCCGATGTGTGCTCTATTTAAATTTCATGAAGTTCGTGTTAGGTCAACGTTTGGCAACGAACACCGCTGCATGAGCCGCATCGACGGGCAATTTGCAAACGTGGATGGCACGCAAAACTCGCTTAAATCATCAGACGATATGGTCAAAGGTTAATTCGCCGGAGCGCAAGAGGCGGAAATTGAGGACCAATTAGACAACCGGAGTATCCTATCAAATTGTACCGTAAACAGCAAAGCGCTCGCGATCAAACGGCAATAATATCGCTTTCCAAACATTCCAAATATTTCCCGTATGCATTCTAAATTAATTTGCGCCAATTTTCGCGTAACGAGTCGCTCAGTTTATATCAATATTTGATATAAACTCCATGAGCATATGCGATCCGCTTGAACCTTTGCGATATTAAAAGAGATAGAAATGCTTTATGTTTGCTTTGTCCAGTTTTAAAAAATTTTTCAACGCAACA